ATCTAATGTTCTAAATAACAGACTTAATATGCTTCTTTTCTTCCTCTCTTCACAAGAATGTACTCTCCATAAAGAGGTGTTTTGTCTGATATTTTTCACTGTGTCTAGAATAATATTTAATACATAGAAGACGCCTAAAATTATTTGTTGAGCAAGTAAATTAATAAAGATGCCTAATCCTTGTTTGCAAATCACAACTAACAATAGTGATTAACAATAGTGATTTCTAAGCAAGAACCCTCAAGCTATTAGATTCCTGAATGTATGCTGAGTCTTCAGTGTGACCACCAGAACGTTCCCTAACCCCTGATTTGACATTCATTGACCCATTCTGCTATGAGAAGTTATGAGAAGAATGGTCCCAAGCTGAGTAAAGTATATGAAAAGAAGAAATAACTGGCTAGCAATCTCTTGAGTAAAGAGTGTTTAACTTCAAAAATAATTGAAAAAAGTAGATAACAAAGCAAATGAGATCATTTTTCAACTGTTATGTTAACAAAGGTTTTAAAAAATTGCAATACTCAATGTTGGCAAAGGAATAGAGAAGAAAGGTATTCTAGACACTTCCTTTTAGAAAATAGAGCCTTTTGGAAAACTATTTGGTAAATGTGTCAAAAAGTGTTAAAATATTCAGGAAATAATTTGTACAATTTTATCCTAAATGTAGAAAAAGCTTTATGGGCAAATATTTTTACAGCTATATTTATAAAAGCAAAATTTGGAAGTAATCTAAGTAACAACAATAAGAAAACAATTAAGTAAACCACGCCTGGCTCATCAACTCCATTCTCTCTTTAATGACTCATTAATAGTTTAACAATATGGAAAAATCCTAGTGGGATGCTACATAACTTTCATCCTAGCATATTAAGGAAACAAAGATGGGAAGGAGATAGGTCAAATATAAATAGAGATGAAATGATGACAGAGCTGTGCTCCTGGATTCTGGGCTACTTGACCCCATCCATGTTATACCAGGTCTTCAGAAATGAAAGTGTTTTTCCCTCTCCTGCATCTGAGGGTCATAGTTCTATTGCCCAGAAGTCCTACTGTTTGAAAATTCTTGTTGATGCACTGCCTAAGAGTTCCAGGGACACTAGGCATGTAAGTACCCAGTGACCCCAGAGTTCGCAAGGGACATGTATGAATTAGTCTCAGTGACCTAGCTCCAAACACATAAAAAATAAATACAAACAAAAACATTTAAAAGAGAGATATTAACTTTATTTGTAGGAAAGTAAAGCTGAAGCCTATTTTAAAAAAGTGAATTAGAATCAGGACTAACTGGGGTCACAATGGTTTCATTTGATGAGCATAATTTGATTCTCAGAACTGTCTTATACTGGGAGACTACCATACAGATAAGTTCAGTCATAGGTTATTTTAAATATAGTCCAGAATGTCATTATTACTGCAATTTATATTACCTTTGATATATCCAATTCCATGGTGCTACTTTTATATATTAACTGGACACACTCTGAGGAATCTTAGCAGAATAAATACAAATCACATAGTCCTCATATGTGAACCTGGAATTGGGAGCTCATTATCACACCAGGCAGCAAGCACGCTGGGCCTAGAACTTTGTTATGCCATATATGGTTTACTCACCTATCATGAGTATATTTTCTTCCACTTCAAAAAGATCTGTTGACTATTATGTTGTCTCCGAGTGTTTTAACATGCTTCTCTGTAGGTTATAAAAGACTGAGTGCTTGCTTTTCAGAAGAAAGTTCTTATAGCCAGTTCCTCTAAGGTTCTTAGCTGGTTCCAAAAGTCCTTCTCTGACACCAATTGGGTGCCCTATGATTTAACCCAATTCTCATACTAGCCATCTGGAGTAGGCATAGATCCTACAAGTAAAGGATTCTACCACATAAGATTTCCCCCACTTCAGGGCCTCCCCAGTGGCGCAGCGGTTGAGCGCTGGGCTGTGAAGCTGCCCGCAGCCTCTGCAGCTCCGGTTCGATCCCCGGCCGCAGGCGAGGGCCTCCCACTGCTCCCCTCAGCAGCGTACTTCATCGGTCTGCCTGTTCTGTTCCCCGCTCTGGCTCTGCTGAATTCTCTCACCCTCCCGTGCTTCTGACTGTACCCAGTGCTTGCATAAATAAATAAATCTTAAAAAAAAAAAAAAGATTTCCCCCATTTCAGACACACATGCAAGTGGGGTCCCCAGGCCACCCACACTTCTATCCTGCAGACCACAAATTCAGGATTTTCTAAAGCCCCTCAGGTCTGCTAATTCACAATACGCTCACAGAACTTAGCAAAGTACTACATTTGTAATTACAGTTTCATTATAAGGGATCTAAGACAAGAACAGCCAGATGAAGAGATGAGTTAGAGAAGGTATGGAGACAGAGGAGGGGGTGAGGGAGGGCACAGAATTCCCACACCTCTCAGGTGCACCATCCTACCAGAACCTTGATGAGTTCATCAAGCCAGAAGCTCCCCGGATCTCATTTAAGAGTTCTTATCAAGGTTTCATTACTTTGGAATGACTAAGTCATTGGCTATCAGTTATTGAACTCCATCTCCAACCACTCTCCTTTCCCTGGAGATCTAGGTGTGAGGCTGAGAGTTCTAACCCTCTAAACCCAAGTTTGGTCTTTTGGTACAGCCAGCCCCTCTCTTGGAGCTACCTGAGGCTTGTCCGTAAGTCATCTCAATAGCATAAACTCGTATTTGGTCAGAAAGGAGTGAAATGTGAACAACAAAGACATTCTTATCTCTCAGAAAATTCCCATGGGTTTTGAAGTTCTGTGCCAGGAACCTAGGAAAAGACTCATTATATTTTTTATCATCCACAATTCTGAAATGTATTTTCTGGATAAATCTCTTTACTTCCATTTTCTGAAATGTAACCTGAAGAAAACATATTTTACTTCATTGATCACTATGACCCAGATTTCTACCACTCAGGTTTTATCACAGTGCTTAACACAGTTCTTTGTGTAAAGAATCCACCTCAGTCTGTGTGCATTTTGAATTGTGTTTCTCAATTCATTAACTGATAATGCTGGTACATTCCACTCATGGCAAATGCTGCTGGTGTGAGAGAGGACTGGCAGGAACCCAGGTGAAGGGCACTAGGAGAGCTAGACCAGTTAGATTAAGAAAAGGTGTCTGTTTCCAAACTAGTGGTGTTCTTGCCAATTCTTTTGACAGCAAGAGACAGAATCCTTACTTAAATTTGATATATAGGATTTATTGAAAAGAAATATATAAGGGTAGCTCACAGAATAAAAAGGTTTTTGTTCAACCATGATTAAAAAGATAGGAAAGTTTCTTGAAACTTCTGGGACTCCAGACCAGGGAAACACTACTCACTCCAATACAATTAGATGTCTGTCTCTTTATTGATCTGGCTGCTTCTCTCTCGGCTTTCCTCCACTCGAATATTATTACTATTATTTGTATCTTAACTCTCTTCTACTGTTGATTAGCTTCTTCCCTGACACTGCAGTATTAGTTCTGGTACCAGAGGATGGAAATGGTTGTTTCCATCTGCCCATCATAAGACTTTGGTCAGAAATACCCAAGGCTTGCGTTCAGATTCTTACTCCTTAATCAAACCCAATAGTTGTGAAGATAGAGAGAAGGGTTACATAAGCAGAAACTAATTTTTTTTAAAAAAAAAACACTAACATTCATTGAAATTTACTACATCTTACTCAGCATTCTAACCCTTTTTTTTTTTTTAAGATTTTATTTATATATTTTTGCAGAGAAGAACTGGGGTGTAGGACAGAGGTGCAGGGAATGGGCAAAGGTTGTGGTGAGAGGATTTACCAGAGATAGAGTGGGGAGCAGAACAGGCAGATCAACTGAAATATGCTACTGTGGGGAGCAGCAGGAGGAGACAAGAGGTCTGCTGTGCCATATGTGGGTTACCTCCCTGGCTGGGGATCGAAACCCGACCTTAGTGCTGAGACTGAACCCCAAGGCCACCAGGGAGGCCCAGCATTCTAATCTTTAGCTTAAACTCAGTATTCACCCTATTTATTTTTTTTAAGATTTATTTATTTATATAAGAGCTGGGGTACAGGCGAGAGGCGTGGGAGGGTGAGAGAATTCACCAGAGACAGAGCTGGGAGCAGAACAGGCAGACGATGAAAAACATTGCTGAGGGGAGCAGCAGGCGAGACAGGAGAGGTCTGCTGCAACATGTGGGTTGCTCCCTGGCCGGCTGGGAATCGAACCTGTGCTGCAGAGGCTGCAGACAGCTTCACAGCACTGCGCTCAACCCACTGCGCCACCAGGGAGGCCCAGTATTCACCCTATTTTAGGTGCTTTATCACCTACCATTTGATCTTCAGGACAACGCTCTACTATTCCCCTCTTACAGGTGAGTCAACTGAGGCATGAAGAACTAAAAAACATGTCCAAGATTGCATGGCTAGCATGTGGTAGAGCTGTGATGTGTAGTATGGTGCCTGAGTTCATGCTTTCAACCATCATGCTCTACTATCCTTCACTTTTTGTGTCCTAACGTACATGTAGTAAGGCAAGTAATACAATTATCTCCATTCTCCATAGGCAGAAATAATCTAAAATACATCTAAAGTAGGCCTAGGAGTCAAACCCAGGCCTGAACCCAAAGTCCATGCTTTCAACCATTGTGCTGGGCTGCACAGTTTGGGGAGGGGATAAAGACACAGTCTCTTGGAGAAGGCAGAGAGGCATAAGAAGACACTGCATCCATTGCACTCACCACAGTATTGCAGAAGCAGTGACTTTTTGGGATCCTTAGCCCCAATCTTAAGCTGGATTCAGGTATAGTCAGAGTAGAAAGTTTGGTCAAGACCAAGTCAAGACCAAGGTCAAGAAATGAAACAGTGGAACCATGGGGAAAAAATAGGGCCAAGATAGGGGTCTGAGGAAATCCTCCACCAAGGGTGAGTTGGCCTGGGACACTGATGGGTATAGCCACTTACTTCTCTGTGAGGGTACATACAAAAGATACATCAGGTTGCACTCAAGAAACAGCTGGAATTCTTTTAGCTCCTCTATAGCACTGGTATGCCCTTGCCCTAGAAAGCAACAGGACGGTGTCAACTTAGAAATGCCTTCACAGAGTTATGATTTAATGTCATGATGTCTGATTTTTTCAAGAATTCAGATAAGAAATGGCTGTTTGAGAGGAATATTTTGTGGTCTTCAGAAAATCTGCTACTGAATATATTGCTCTTATCACTTATATAATAAGCATAATATTCTGCCCAGATTTAGAGCTGAGAAATATTTGTCTTTCCAGGCAAGGTAAATATGCATGTTTATTTTTGTCAGACAGTAAGAACTACACAGCAAAACATGATTCCTTTTTGCATTGGCCCCTTTGAACCATAAGTTAAATTTAGTGCTTAATTGTTCCAATATCACCCTAGGTTATTGGAAGCTACCTAATGAGTTCTGGTTTCCCTTTTAGTCTTGAACATTTTGATTTTTTTTTTAATTTTTAAATTGTGAAATGGAGCATACCAAAAAAAGATTTTTTCGAAACTAAAATATATATGGCACAATGATTAGCTCAAGGTAAATATCTACATAACCACCACCCAGGTCATAAAAAAGAATTTCCAATACACCAAAACTCACTCAACTTACTCCAAACATCTTTCACCACATTTCTCCACTATGCCTCCTTTTTCTTAATGCTTTTCTTTTCTATTTCACCTAAGGATAGATCCCTCAACAGTATAGTTTGGTATTGCATTTCTCTTTTATTTCTTTAATTTTTTTAATTTAAATTTTATTTGTATATTCCCCATACAATTACAACCCCTTTATTTTGATCCCAATCCCTCCTTTCCCAGCCCCCCACCCTCCCATAGAGTGTCTCTGGTTTATAATTGTTTGTTGATTTTGATATTTTCTTTCTTATAGTTATTCTTTTTCCTGGTCCCTTATTTAAGTTTTCTAGATTCCTGCTATGAGTGAGACCATCTGGTATTTTTCTTTTTCTTTCTGGCTTATTTCGCTGAGCATGATCCCTTCCAACTCCATCCATGTTGCTGCAAATTGCATGTGTTTATCTTTTTTGAATGCTGAGTAATATTCCATGGTGTATAAGTACCACCTCTTCTTGATCCAGTCATCTATTTTTGGGCATTTGGGTTGTTTCCAAAGCTTAGCTATTGTAAATAGTGCTGCTATAAATATAGGCGTGCAGGTGTTCTTTGGAATGGATGTTTCTGTGTCCTTTGGGTAAATACCTAGGAGGAGAATTGCTGGATCATATGGAAGCTCTATGTTTAGTAGGTCCAGAAAGCTCCACACAGCTCTCCATAGTGGTTGGACCAGTTTGCACTCCCACCAACAGTGCAGGAGAGTTACTTTTTCTCCACAACCTCACCAACATTTGTTGTTGCTAGTTTTTTTAATATGTGCCATTCTCACTGGTGTAAGATGGCATCTCATTGTAGTTTTGATTTGCATTTCCCTGATTACAAGTGATGTTGAACATTTTTTCATATGCCTGTTGGCCATTTGTATTTCCTCTTCAGAGAAGTTTCTTTTTAGCTCTTCTGCCCACTTTTTGACTGAATTATTTTCTTTGTTTTTGTTGAGTCTCATCAGCTCTTTGTAGATTGTTGTGATCAGTCCTTTATCATTGGTGTTGTGTGCAAAAATGTTCTCCCAGTCAGTGGGGTTTCTCTTTGTTTTTGTTATTGTCTCTTTTGCTGTGCAGAAGCTCTTTAATTTGATGTAGTCCCAGCTGTTTATCTTTGCCTTCACTATCACTGCTTTGGGTGATGTGTCTGTACAGATGTCTTTGATGTGCATATCACATAGTGTTTCGCCTATATTTCCTCCTATGAATTTTATGGTTTCAGGTCTTATGTCTAGTTCTTTAATCCATTTTGAGTTGGTTTTTGTGCATGGTGTTAGGTAGTAGTCAAGCTTCATTCTTTTGCATGTAGCGACCCAGTTTTCCCAGCACCATTTATTGAACAAACTTTCTTTGCTCCAGTGCATATTCTTTGCTCCTTTGTCAAAGATCAGTTGACCATCAATCTGTGGGTTTTTTTCTGGATTTTTCTATTTGATTCCATTGGTCTGTGTGTCTGTTCTTGTTCCAATACCATGAAGTTTTGATGATTATGGCTTTGTAGTATAGTTTGAAGTCTGGGAGTGTGATGCCTCCATTCCCTTCTTTTTTTTTTCAGGAAAGCTTTGGCTATTTGGGGTTTTTGGTGATTCCATATGAATTTCATCAATAATTGTTCTATTTCTTTGAAGAATGACATTGACATTTTTATTGGAATAGCATTGAATCTGTATATTGCTTTTGGTAGGATGGTCATTTTAATAATGTTTATTCTTCCAATCCATGAGCAGGGGATGTCTTTCCATTTCTTTGTGTCTTCTTCTATTTCTTTTAACAGTGTTTTATAGTTTTCTTTGTATAGGTCCTTTACCTCTTTTGTTAGATTTATTCCCAAGTATTTGATTTTTTTTTGTTTCGATAATAAAAGGGATTTTTTTTTATTTCTTCTTCTTCAGATTTATTTTTTGTGTATAGGAAGGCTACTGACTTTTGCGTGTTGATTTTGTATCCTGCCACTTTACTGAACTGATTGATTAGTTGAATTAGTTTTTTGTGGAGTTTTTTGCATTTTTCTTTTAATTTCACATTATCAGTCACATACCATGTAGTCTTTTGTGACTAGCTAATTTCACTCAGTATCACATTTGAGTATGTTATACAGGCCATGTTATTATTTATATGTGTAGCGCATTCATTTGTATACCTGTACATGCCAGTGTATGACCACAATTTACCTATTTTATTATTGATAGACATATCAATAATAAAGAAACATTTTTTTTAGCACCTCCAGAAGAAATACAATCCACTAACACCTTGAGTTTAACTCAGCAAGACTCATTGGGACTTCTGCCTTTCAAAACTGCAATGTAATAAATTTATGTTGTTTTAAACCACTAGCTTGTAGTAATTTGTTACAGCAGCAACAGGAAATCAAACACAAGAAAAAGGTCTCCTGCATCTACTAAGAATTCTGAGTTTGAAGTTAAGGACTCTAGGCTAGATCCTGGTTCTTCCACCAGTATCGTAATTCTGTGAGCCTGGCCAAGCGTCAGTCTCTCAGAGACTTTGTTTCCACTAAGACTATAGACGGTGCTCGCAGAACAACTGTGAAGATCACAGGAGATCCTATGACAAAGTGCCTGTCATTTCTTAAATTGTATATACTTGTAAACATTTATTTCCAATCCAAAACAGGAATCAAGGACTAACAATCTTAGGGTAATGGGATAATAGTGATTTTTTTAACTCCTATTTTATATCACAAGTTCTTTATTAGATTTTTCCTTTGATAGTCTATTTTAATTAATAATTCCAATCTTCCAATGTGCATCTGTGCAAATCATAAGTAGAGTTTTATTTGCCTCTTACGTGAAAAACAAAAGACAACAAGATAAGGATCCTAGCTTATTATTTTCTAATTTTATAAATCAAAGAAATGCCTAACTCAGCATGAAATATGTTGCTGTGACACTGTTCTTCAGAACAAGCCATATCATTGAGGACAGCACATCTGACTGGCTACATACAAAATCCAGGGGCAGGTGCATGACCTATCTTGTTTATAAACCCAGGAGCCTCCATCAGCAGCTACTACACAACAGGTGCTCCATGTTTGTGGATAAATCTTTTTTTCCATAACTGTGATCTATGATTATCTACGATGACCACCCTGTCATCAGCTAACCTAAAATGCCCATATTCTGATAAACCAGAACTTTACAGCAACCTCTATTTCTCTCCTTATCAAATACACCTTAGAATTGTTTTTAGATAAGAGCATGAATCACTTCATTTTTAAAAATATGAATTAGCTTTAATAAATAGCACAGACAACTGAATGTCAATGATACCAATCAAACTTCAGTGATTTTTATCAGAACTTTATTCTATATAATACCAAGTGCTGTTGCAGACCATCCACAATGGACATAGGGCTGCAAGATGACAGAATTCTCAGTGGCTACAAGCAGTGGGTCGGTTGAGAGGGAAGAGGAGATGTTCAATATTGTGGAGTAAAAGACTTTCTGGAATTAGTCTTTCTATAAAATCCTTCCATTGCTGCCATTAAGAGAGGACGAAAGCAAAGAAATGGAGGGAAAAGAAACTTGCCAGAAGGTGAAACAGGTGATAGGTGGAATTCAGAGACTTTGCCCCATAGATCAAACTTCAACTTTCAGAATTACACTGAGCAATGTATTAGCTAACAAGAATAGAGATCACCACAGTAATGGTTAACATTTATTGAGTAATTAGTATTTGCTAGACACTATTTTAAGGACTTTATACATATACTCCTATTTCTTTCTACAACCCTACAACAGCAAGGTGATTATTGCACCCCCATTTAACAGAGGGAGGTCACTTAGCAATAGTATGGCTCCAGAGCCCCTGTTCTTAGTCATTACACCATGCTCACTCTCCAACAATAGTTGGGGAATGACTCTGCATTTAAAGTCTGGATTCTGATTAATTCATGCCATTCACAGCAATGTGGATGGAGCTAGGAGGGATTATGTTCAGTGAAATAAGGAAAAAGAAAAATATCGAATGGTTTCACTTATAGGAGGAATATAAGGCAACCGAATAAGGGATCAGGGGAAATAATAATAATAACAACAACAACAAAAAAAAAACAGCAGGTAACTATAAATCAGAGACATTCTGCAGGGGAGAGGGAGGAAGAGGGATCAAAACAGGGGAGGGAAAAGCACAGAAGACTATGGTGATGGTGCACAGGTGAATTGGTGGTGGGAATTCCATGGGGACTACCCCTGAGAGGAGAAAGCAAACACTGTACAAAAATGAACAATGATGTAATATATATATATATATATATATATATGATAAATTATATTAAAAAAATAAAGTTTGGATTCTGAGCAACTGGAGTCAAAAAAGACCAGAAATTCTCACAAATTAGTACATGAGATTTGAGAAATAGAAATGATTATTCAAACACATCCTCATGGGGGGTGTGTTATTACATGGGACACTTATCAAAATATACAAACTCAGGACAACACAAGAAGTAGTTGAGGGCGGGATAAGCAGGGATGTGTTTCTCCTTCATGTTTCTTAATGTACCCTCAGTTCCCTATGTGAAAGTAAAAGCATTCACACTGGAAATAATTTCTGTTCTATTTGAAGTAAAAGTTTAGCAAATAAAATTTAGTTCATTCCATAGTCCAACTTTGTTACTCTCAAGTAATCCTTTCTGCTATTGCTTTAAAGTTCTGAATAAATTGCATGAGCTTATCTTTTTTGATTGCTGAATAGTATTCCATCATGTATATATAACACATCTTCTTGATGGAGCTAGAAGAAATTATGCTCAGTGAAATAAGTCAGAAGGAAAAAGAAAAATTTCGGATGGCTTCACTTATAGGAGAAATATAGGGGAACCAAATAAGACATCAGGGGAAAAAATAATAACAGTACAAAACTCAACAAAACAAAAACAGACAGACAATTATAAACCAGAGACATCCTACAGGGGAGGAGGAGGGAGAGGGATCAGAGGGAGGAAGGGAGGAGCACAGGGGACTGTGGTGATGGTGCACGGGTGCATTGGGGTAGGAAATTCTATGGGGACTACATAAGTAAATAATAATAATAATTTTAAAAAGTCCCGAATAAAGAATCTAAGTGTTATTGAAGTTCAGTGTCAGAATCAGGTGAATCAACCTGAGAAATGAGCTCACTTAAAATATTTCAACTTCATAAAGATTGTTTCTATCAGTGTGCACCTGTGAGTCACTTCTGCACTATTATCTCTTTGATCCCCACAACAGAAAAGCAACAGGAAAGATAATACTACTAGATTCATTATGGCTCATTATGACAAAGAAATAAAGAGGCCCAGAGATGTGAAGAGGTATACCTGAGTTCACACGGTGAGTACTCAACCTGAGACCAGAATCCAGGTTCCTTTTCCAGTCTCAATCTATTTTAGTGACTTTTCCTAAATTTACTAACAAGCAACAAAACTGACAGATTTGGCCTACCCTCTAGTGAGTTATCAGTGATCAGTGAAATGTTCCAAAGTGGACTGAGATATGGTAGACCTTTACACAGATGTATAAAATGGAATAAGCACATAATAATGGCTTATTTTTAGCATTTAGAATGTGCCAAATAGTATGCAAAAAATACTTTATATAAATGACCTCATTCATCCTGAAAACATTCCTGTGAGAAATATATCATTAGCTCTATTTTATAGAAAAAGTGAAACAAAACTGAAAGTCAAACAGGTTAACTTACCAAGGTAGCAGTTAGGATTTGTGTTGTCAGGTTCAGGCTGATGAATCAACAGAGAAGAGAAATCCAAGGCTGACCTTCCTGACAGAGGCTGCTGGCCCTACACAGGCTGAACTGAGCCATGGGTGGCCCCCCCATCCTTCCTCTTTTCCCACCTGCTGCTCTGAACCACAAGATTATTTCTCCATCAACGTCTTCACTTTGAGGCAGGAAGTTCCATCAGGCCTCTAGAGGGCAAATGTTCTTCTGATGCTTTTGTGATAGGCCCCTCCCTCAATGCTGAAGGATCTGAACAAGTTTAAAAAAAAACAAAACAAAAATGTTGTTTGCTCCTCTTGAGGGAATATTTACTGGAACTCATGGTGGGGCACAAAATTTAAGGAAAATAATTCTTTAATGCAATAGTTTTGGAAATCAAAATTAATGCAAAAATCTCCACTTTAGAGACAGGAGACCCAATCCTAAAATTCCAAGACTCGTCCACTCACCTCATCCCAGTCCCAACCCAGTAGGCCCTTGTTTGTAGTTAAATTCTTGACATTTTGTTCACCATGGATGTTTTCTGCATGACATTGCACGTTCTCAAACATTATTGATTGTGATGACTGAGTTTCTGATGTTTTGAGTCCCCTTAAATTCTGGACCCGAGGCCTCACTCACCTCATTCTATTCCAGTCCTGGCCTGCACACTTAAAAGACAGAATGGGGTTTCTCATGCCATTTCCTGTCTACTCCACAGGTTAGCTGTTCTCTCTGTAAGCCCCAAGTAAGTGATGACCACATACACACAACTTCAGAGCTGAGTTGTGGGAGAGAAGGAGGAAAGTTTTCTCCATCTTGCCCTAGAACTATCCAGGAGTTTTGTTTCTTTCTCTTTCTTTCTTTTTCTTTTTTTAAAGATTTATTTATTTATTTATTTATACAAGCACTGGGTTCAGTCAGAAGCGCGGGAGGGTAAGAGAATTCACCAGAGCCAGAGCGGGGAGCAGCGCAGGCAGACTGAAGTACACTGCTGAGGGGAGCAGCGGGCGGCAGGAGAGGTCTGCACGCCATGTGGGACCCTCCTCCGGTGGCCGGGGAGCAGCCGGGGATCGAACCGGCGCTGCAGAGGCTGCGGGCAGCTTCGCAACCCAGCGCTCAACTGCTGCACCACCAGGGAGGCCTTCTTTCTCTTTCTTAAAGTACATTTTTTTATACCATCAGCTGAGTAATTTGCCATGAGCAAGTTCCCTTTGACACCCTCAAATCATGTTGCCATGTAACTTCAATGATTAAATTCCTATCACTGTTTATTAGTGGTCCTTAGTTATTAAACAAAAAAAAATTCCTTCCTAGGCTGCTCCCAGATCTAGTAAGTCAGTATCCTTGGAGGCAGAGCCTCTGCAACCTTTATAACTTCGTAGGGGATTCCAATGTACAGGTAGGATTGCGAGTGATTACTTTAGTGCAAGGCGGACTTCTTACTTTCCTCCCTCAGGAGTTGCCCTGTAATCCTTCTCGAGCACAATGTCAGTCACAGCTTCCGAGTCAGAGTGAGCTGGGTTCCTTACCTTCCTTACCTTCCGACATTCTAGCTTTGTGGTATTGGACAAAATACTTGACTTTACTTCCTCAAATCTAATGTAAATAATAATAAAATCGAGCTCTTGGACTTGTTTAAAGGAATCAAGCTAAGGCATCTAAAATACCAAGCACAGCTTTGATATGCATGTGCCTGCCTGCATGCAGGCCCCCACACATTCAGTATGAGCTAACACAATACAAGTTATGAATCCATTCTGCAAACGAAATGATGAGAATCCCAAAGAATAAATAAAGGCAGAACTGCTCTGTCAGCAGCCAAGGGTGGGGAGAAACTCAGACCCCACTCTCCTTTTTCAGGGCATTCTGAAAAACCCTTAGGAGTCTGGAAAATCATGAGGACCATAATTAGGGACATGAAGGCATTACAGATCCAAGTTTACTGTTAGGGTTGACTTTTTCTGCCTCAGCACTTCTATGGCCCATCTCTAATCTCTCCTCTAGTGGCAGGCATCTGGTTGAGGCCATGCTGTGGCCACAGGTCCCAGCTGAGGAGAGATGCTTGGCCCCAGTGGCTTCTGTGGCCTCAAGCTTATTAGTGAAGCGGTCACTGACTGAGCTCAGCGACCCATCCAGAGGACACAGCTATAAATTCCCAGTCGCCTGGCTGGCTGGATGTCCATTTGGTTTGTAGGTGTATGTGGTTGTGACTAAGTAGACTTGAATGTGTTTTCTGATCAAGAGTAGAACAGCATTTAAGTGCCCAATGCAGGAAGCCCCTGAGGGCATCCTGGTTTGGCAGGGGTTGCAGGGAAAGAGTAGCTCGCCTGTTTTCCCTTCTGAGAACAGCTGGGCTCTATTTGTTTCTTGGACAGTGTTGATTGTTTCAACCCAATGGGTCAAAAATCTCAGTCCAGTTTAGAGACTTGTGCCAGCTTCAGGCTGACTCAGAGTGGGAGAGGGAGAAGGTGCAGACTGAATCAGCGTAACTGAGGTCGGCTCGGCCTCAGTAATCATCAGTGCCACACAATTGGCTGCATTTCCTTTTCCCTCAGGGAGGTCCATCTGGGCCCTGCTTGCTCGTGTGTGGCTTCCATTGCCTCCTTTCATTGCTTCCAGCCAATACACTTTCTTTCCTTTTTCATAGAGGAGTACTCCCTGTACCAAGTTAATAGTTGAATAAACTACTCAAGAGTAAGACTGTTTTGTTTTTTCCTCCCCTGAACCCATTTCCAGACTTGTTTGGGAAGAAAGTTAATATTTCATACCACAGTGTGTTTAAAGTGTATGCCTTGATTGTTCTTTAGAGAAGCTATTTTAGTTTGGCTCCTAGTAGTTGGGTTCTTTAATTACAAGTAACAGAAACCAACTTGTGCTGCCATTAGCCAGAGAGAGTGATTTATTATAAGGATAAAGGCACATCTCATAGAAGCAAAGACAGGAGTGTAGTGGGTTTCAGAAAGGAGCTGGAAACTACACAGGACATCTCTGCTCTGATTCATCTGGGGAGCTTTGCACGTGTGCTGCTTTTGTCTCTCTGCGAACTGGTTTCACTGCTCTGCCCACAAGTTGCAAAGTTGCTGTCACTCCAAGGTGGCATTCATCACTTCCACTTGAGAGACGTGCTCAGAATGACTAGTCATTCTTTTAGCTTTTTCTCAAGAAAAAGAATAGGACTGGTCAGAGCCTCAGCAGCGATGGTCAATGGCTAGCCCGGTGGCTGTCCTCTCAACCAAGGTTCCCAGGTCTGGCTGATGATCAGTCTTTCGTGGGATTTTGCTTCCTTTTTTTTTTTTTTTTTAAATAAAAACCCAGGCTCTACCTTACAATTTCTAGTAGTAGGGCCTGGGACACTGCATTAAGAATTCCTCAAGCGATTCTGATGATAAATTATATTTGAGAGCCACTGAAACTCAAGTCTTTGGTATCCATTAATCTTTCTACTAAGGTCGAACAAGAGGCTGCCTTTTAAACCATCTATTGTATGAGGAGGTTCTCACTATACAGCTAGAGAGAGCAATTTATTTCAGTGTAAATATACGTGAGTGGGATGGGGAACTCCCCGTCTGACAGAGCACTTGCTGTAGAACCAGTCTAGTGGAAATCTGAGAAGCCAGATCAGAATTGGAACTAATGTCACTATTCTTAATGCTTCATGGTCAGGATTTTTAGACACGATATCAAGAATAGTTTCTACAAGAAGAAATCTGGCTTGCTGCTAGCCAAGCAGATGATACAGGTACTATGGGTGTAAGAGTCAAGAACAGTTTTAGAGGCCTCCCTGGTGGCACAAGGGGTTTAAGTGTCAGCGCTATGGAGCTATCTGCAGCCACTGCAGCGTGAGTTCCATCCCAGGCCAGGGAGCTAGCCCACGTGATGCAGCAGACCTCTCCTGTCTCACCTGCTGCTCCCCTCAGCATTGTATTTTAGTCAATACACCTGTTCTGTTCCTCACTCTTTCTCTGGTGAATCCTCTCACCACCACCACCCCTATACTTCTGGCCTGTACCCCCAGTTCTTGTATGCATAAATAAATAAATCTTAAAAAAAAAAAAAACAGGGTAGGTCCTAGGAAAAATAGAACTCCACTGAAAAAATACCATCTTAGAGAATCAAGTTGTGTGTCGTTCTCATGCTTTTATTTCTTACATGCTTTTTCCACTGCTTAGCAGACTATTCTTTTTCTAGGGCTACTGGTTTTTTCTTTAAGATTTAACTTGTATCTCCACTTAGAAGAAGGCTTCTCTGACTGTCCAGTCCATTAATCTTTGCTTCCTTTCCTTTATCTTTTGCATACCTTAACCTGATCATGCACTGTCATCATTTTACTACCCCATCACCTCCACTTAATCGTAGGCATCTGGAAAATAAATCTTCTTGTAGGGTGGCTGGAGAACTCTTCTGCTGCAGTGATGTGTCTGCTAATCTGAGTCCTGGCTTCCCTTTTGTCCCTCACTTTCCCCTTATTCCCACAGCCAAAAAAAGTCATTTTGCTTTTACCAAGAATCTCAATACTGATTCCAGCTTCTGGGATCACTCATCCCTGAGTCATGAAAAATTTTAGGAGCCCTAGCACTCTATCCCTGCATCCAGTGTGCCATGTTAATTAGGTTGCCCTTAGCACCATGATACATGTACAGGCTGTTTTAGTTTGACACTCTAGGTAAATCACTCATAGTTCAAGCGGCATGATTCAGGTATTACTTCATTTCACTCCTACAACAAGCCTACAAAGAAAGCTTTATAGGGAAAACCGGGAACTAGAAAGGTTAAAGTAGCCTGCCTACGTCACATCACAATATATGTCAGAACCAAGATCAAAATCCAGACCTGACTCCAAACCCTTATGCTTTTAAACACCAAGCTCTATCTTAGGCCCTTTTGAAACCTACTTTACATTGTCAGCTATCTTTCCCTGTGAAGTCTTCATTTTCTCAATTAGAATGAAATACTCAATAGATATTCATTAATTGAATATAATCTTTGGATGGTATATTACTTACATGAACTGGGGAAAAGAGTGACTTTTCATCACATACAGTTGTCAAGTACAGAATGACTTTCTAGAATTATCTATTTAAAAGCTTCCAACAGAATGTGAGTGTAGGCCTATGTGCAGTTCATCCATTTCAAATGGCTGAGGAAAAGATTTCTCCACTGGTGTCCTCCCTTTTCACGGTAGCTCTGAACTCCGAGAAGGCCCTTTCCACAGAAGGCTGTTTGTTTTAGGTGTGGCCCCTACATGGCAGGTCTGAGGATGTGCTCATACTGGGTCCAGACAAGGACCAGCCACAGCACTGACTATTCATGACTGAGTCACAAAAGAGTCAGTCACACAAGCTGGGCCTGAAACTGGGCAGTGAGGGGAGGGCACTGCATCTATAGGTTTCCTAAATATACCATCTTTGACGGACCACACAAAGAAATATTCATCACTTATCCTATAAGCGGGGTTTTTAAAAAAAAGACAAAAGTGTCCTGAAGACACAAGTGTTCGAGGGATATCAGAAATGGTTTACACTGACTACAAGTGTGAAAATAGACAGAAAATTATTAAAGTAAATCAGAATGATATACTCCCTCCACTCATGCATGACTCAAATGCTAGAAACCAAAAGAGTTGCGCTGAGATGTAAGAGTAGAGTCAAAAACCCACCTATTTCAAAAGAAGGATGAAACACAGACTGCAAAGAGGCAGTAGCTAAGCCTCTTGTCTCCAGGATCTACAGCAAACTAGTTCAGAGTCTTTCAGAGATCACAGATGCACCAGGCAGATGAGGCCCTACATTTGGGAGCAACAAATGGAAGGGTTTATTTAAGCACACTCAAAAATCACCTCCTGAAAGCAACACTTACCTCCAGTTTCACTAGCAAATTTTTCATTCTAGATGAATGAAAGGGTAATCACATCTAGACTCCCTCCAAGGGCAGAAAGCCACAGCAAGCCCGCAGTGTGACAAATGAAGCATCCCTCTAAGTATAAAGAACTGGGAATGCGCAGCTCTGCCAAATTTTTGAAAGTGAGTGATCAGCAAGGGACACAAGTATAAGCTGGGCAGAGGCAGAAAGAGGGGAGGGAGATAACCAGGTTTGTTTCTGAATGTATTAAAGATGCTGATGATATGCATGAAACATCCAATAAGCTGGTAGAGAAGAATTTCTAGAGCTCAAAAGAGAGATTAAGGCAATAGATTTTGGGAAACATTTGCAGGGTGGTGATAAACACCTGTGTGTCCCAGGAGAAAATAAACCAAGGTGAGAAAGGACACAAGCTTAGGGAAACTAACACAGGACGATGGATTTGGGGTTACACAGTCCCAAATCACTCCTCTTTCTACAGAGATTCCTTTTAGTCTATTCCCTTCTAGCTCCAACAAATATATCCCCTCACCCCCAACCTGACAGTCAAACAGAACCTGGGAATAAATGACTTTACTTAGCAAAGCCATAAAACATGTAATAGAATGTGGTCTTTGAATGCATCAAGAATAAGGAGCTAAGGCAATGATTCTTATTGTGCACTTTTACTCCAGAAATTTGAGCCAAAAAAATGACCAAAATTAAAAGAATGTCTTAAATTAAGTTGAAACTTTACTACATCTAATTTTTAAAAGTTCCCAGTCCCTTCCTCCTCCCCAAACTCTAATAGGTAGAACACACGGAAGTTGCCTGTATAAAAATGTAGGATTTAAGGCAAGTTTGATGACTTAACACATTAACTATTTTACCTGTCTTTCCTGAATGACCTGAAACATCACTGTTGTTTGGAGTTCCCACATTTTTCTGACTACACACAGAGAATGCACAAGTCATGGTCATTGTTCCCCACAGCGCTCTTTACACATTTTAAGCAAGCTAGCAGAAGTGCCGTGTAATCGCTCAAACACTCAACAGCACAAGCGATTGGGTTTCAGCTGTCTGCACTGAAAACTGTTTCCTAACGCTATGCCCAGTCTGTATGCAGTTTCAACACTGCTCGGGCCTGAATAAGCACTAGATGGAGGTGGAAAGAATGCTAACCCAGGTGTTCCTGACATTATCAGATAAAGGGACTCAAAAGGCTTGGTGTTGGCTGGTTGATGGATAAGCTTTATGACATTAATGAGGTAGGGGCAGGTTAGTTTGCTTTCTACTCTCCCACAAAAGATTAACCCAGTTTTCTCAATGCTAAGAAGTCCTAAATAAAAAATTTTATCAATTGTGAACCACACACTCAAAAAACAAAATACCACAATATCACTGATTAAAGCATTTGAGAAACAGAGAGAAACAAGGATGGAAATTTCCAACACTCTGTGGACCAGTCTTCGTATGGGTATGTTTAACCCTATGAGGGGTACCTCAAAACTTTTCAAAGGGTCCTTCAGCAAAGGTAAGTTTAAAGGAAACTTCCTCCACATTCTCATCTCTCACATAATTGCCCTCACACAGAGCAATCTGCAAACCACCACACAACCACATCCACGACACACTAGGCCCTGCGGGCCCTCCCAACTCCAGCTGAATTGTACTGCCTGCAGACCTTAAATCTACAGGGCACACAAGTGTCAGTCTTGGGGGCATACTGACTTCCCCTTTCTATATTTCTGGTAGGGGAAACTTAGAGATGGCCTATTTGGGGAATTGTTAAGATGTTCAAAATGTGGATAGATGGTAAAGTGAGGTACAGTGGAAGCTATGATTTTTATTTAATAAATTGACTGCTTCTATCTCCAGATTCCCGACAAGAAATATACTGCTCCTGATGGAAGCCCTGCCAACAAAGCAAGTAACTGAGAAATACTGAAGGCTAAAAAGAACTTCTCTCATTAAGTAATTTTTCCCAGTATTTAAAATGCTCATTCTTAAAGAAATCACTGACTAGAAAATACCCCTAAACAGTCAAAACAAGAATAGTTGGGCCTCCCCGGTGGCGCAGCGGTTGAGCGCTGGGTTGCGAAGCTGCCTGCAGTCTCTGAAGCACCGATTTGATCCCCAGCTGCTCCCCGGCCACCGGAGGAGGGTCCCACATGGCGCGCTGACCTCTCCTGCCGCCCGCTGCTCCCTTCAGCAGTGTACCTCGGTCCTTCTGTCTGCTCTGCTCCCCGCTCTGGCTCTGGTGAATTCTCTCACCCTCCTGCGCTTCTGACTGTACCCAGTGCTTGTACAAATAAATAAATAAAAATCTTTAAAAAAAAAAACAAGAATAGTTTAGTGATGGTGGTTATGTTCATTGTCACTTGGAATATTTCTTCAGGACTCCCAGATTTCCATGATGCACTGAGTAGATCTAAAAAATTTTTCAGCCATATCATGAAATAGTTATTCTAAATACAAAGTTCAATTTAATCTTATGAAATTAATAGTTCCAACCAACAATTAAGAGAAAATAGATTCTAGCTGCCACACCACTTAGTTTCTAACAGACTCCAAGAGTCACGCAAAGGCCTATCCTATCTAAGATTGTTAATTTTTAAGTCTTAATTCTTCCAAAAGCTAAATATCCTAAATCAATATATGCATACATCTTTATTGACAGAATATCTTGCCTTTTATTAACGGACCTGCTTCCTAAATAACTTAGTTACAGGTGACTTTTTATAAGTAATGAAAAATAGTATATTATCATGCTTAAAAAAATATTTTAAATACACATGATTTAAAACCATAACTGCTGTTAGTAATCTCTTATAAGTGGCGTACTATAATGTTCTTAATGATTTTTATAATAACCTTGAAAATTCATTAACATTTGAATTTTCTAGTCATATTTTTTCCTGATGGGGAATTGTGTTATTTAATTCAATAATGAAATGGTGGGTAACTTGATATAACTTGATCGCTATTTGGTGGACATTTACTATAAAGTGGATAATTAAACCAGCAGCTCCAAGGTTTTAAGGATATTCATAGTTAATAAAATATAGTATGATGAAAATATATTTAAAGCACTGTAATTTTTACCAACACTACATCCAAAAAGTTATTCTGAGAGTAATGGGTTGATTACTCATTTTCTTAATTAAAATGAAAAACTGGTAGGGGCAGTTAATAATAATCATTTGAATCTTGGTAAAATCTCGTGGGTTTAAGTCCTCAAATTTGAGAATAAATAATCCTAAGTAGCAACTCTTCTAAGAGTTGGGCAGCTATCAATTCTCCATTTCCAACAAAAATGAACAATAATCATGTTGTCAGGTAAAGGATGATTGAAAACATAATGCGATTTTTGGCATGGAATTTAAAGAATTGAGTAAAAACGTTTTAAGAAAGCCATGTGCACTCCTATCTCTTGATTTAGGAGCTGTTTTCCAGCATTTACAGAGATAGAGGTGAAAGAAGAAATGCTGAACCCCCTCTTTCATTCCAGAGTTACCATGTTTACCCAAGGATACAAAGCTGCTCAGATATTACATTTCACTTAATAAGTTAACATTTTAGATATATTTATATTTTGATAAAGCATAATAGTTTTAACTCAATGTTGAAGAAATTTCACACAGCCTTAAGGTATACTTGTTTTTGTTGCAAAGATATAAGCTAGTATGATCAATATGACTTTCAGGCATAAAAACATACAGTAAAATCCTGATAGCTTCAGGAATATGAGTCTGAGTTAATGGAATGAGCCCTCATCTGCCAACCTAATTCTTTATTTCCAAATAGTCTACGCTTCTAGGGGAAAGCATGTGGTGAGAAAGTGATTGTCTTGTGACCAAGAGGGACTCAATTATGTGAATGAGTTTGTACAGCAAGTTGCACTACCTTACATTAGGTGTGTGACAGTACAGACTAAAACATATTTTTTCACCCCATTATTACTGCAGTATTACAACCCCACAATTTTCCAAACTCAATTTTTGGGGTTCCATCTAGGCCTTATGGTGGGAGGTATGGTGTATTACTCTGGGATAAAATCGTGTGGAGACACTGCAATTAAAAAAAAAAACCACATTCAAAAAGTAAAGATGTATAATTTTAAGTATTCTTATGTACTTTTTATGTGATTGATGGTACTAAATTTTTATATTTAGACTATTGAATATATTTGAAAAAGTGATGAATGTTTTGCTTTGAAATGTCAATATTTATACTATGCTGGAAATTATACCCTTTGCCAGTATTTAAACTTAGGAGCAGCTTTAAATGTACAAAAGAACAGTTTCCTTTTGAAACTGTTTTTTAAAAGACTATTAGTGAATACTTGTGCAAAAAAGTTTGAAAATAACTGCTGTAGACAGAAGCAAGGTAAGCAAGGACATTTTCAAGGCCAATTAGAGATTTTTTTTTTAATCAACAGTACATAGACTGAAATAGGAAGGAGAACTTAACATTTGTTTGCTTTTCCTGGCACCTAGAGGGAAAGTCAAGCAACACCAGGGATGAAACATTTCTGCTATCACATTAGAATCTCTAAAAATTGATTTATGGTACATAGTAACAGGAATAGAGAATTGCTCATATCTTTATACTCAAGCAGCAACTGCTTCTTTATCAGAATCAAGCTCTGATAAGCTCTCTACTGTTTGCAATTTCAAGAAAAGGTACTGATTTTATGGATTTATTTTACCACTAATTATTTTTAATTGAGTATCCCTTATATGTTGGGTTCTGGGGATAAAACATTAAAAAAAACTACACTTGAAAGAATTTATCTCATTGGAAAAACAGATAAAAAGCCCTAAGATAAATATGAACCTGTGTAACACAAACTAAGTATCCAAAGGTATAATGAGTATAATGAATAAACAGAGGAGCTTACTGCCAAAGGCAGGGCAGTCTGGGAAGAAGACTGGAATCAAAGTAGGTCTTTAAAAATTCACAATCAAGAAAACCAAACTGGGCCTCCCTAGTGGTACAAGGAGTTAAGTCTCAGCACTATCAAGCTATCAGCAGCCACTGCAACGTGAGTTTGATCTCTGGAGAGAAAGCTACCCACAAGGCGTAGCAGACCTCTCCTGTCTCACCCCCTGCTCCCTTCAGCAGTGTATTTCAATCAATCTACCTGTTCTGCTCCCCACTGTCTCTGGTGAATCCTCCCAACACTTCCTTCCCACCCCACCCCTACCCCCTGACCCCACACCTCTGGTCTACACCCTAGCTCTTGTATGCATAAATAAAAATAAATAAATCTTTAAAAGAAAACGAGACTGATGGGCTAATTTGCTGGAGACAGTAGGGGAGAGTAGGTATGGTGCAGGTATGACGGTAAGGAGAATAGTGATTAGTGCAAGGCAGGTGGCTGCTATAAAAGCTGGAAGGCAGCTAGAAATTAGACTGTAGATGATCTTATACGCAAACAGAGCTGTGTTCTATCCTGTGAGAAATGTGAAAGTGTCTGAGATCAATGAGCAAGTTTTAGGAAGCTTTAAAAAAAAACAGCATGTAAGAAGAGACAACAAGAATCAGTTAGATTTCAGCTAATATGGGTAATTCAGATGGAAGCAGAAACTGGGGTAAAGATAATAATGTGGCTAGAAAACAGGAGGGGGGAGCCACAAGGAATTCCATGGTGTCAAGCTCATTTTCTGTGGTTCAAATGACAAAAATAAATCAAAAGGAAAGCAGGTTTGTGTTCAAAGGGGAAGGAGTCATCAAGGAAAAATGGACATGTGCAGGGGAAGGCTCAAACTCACTCATCTGCCATCCCCTACTATAAAGAAAATCATGTACTTTCTCCTATTTTGTTCTTTAGCTCAGTGGAGGAGGGGAGATGATTAGTATTCTAAACTTGTTATTGATCACACCATTGATCATACCATCTGACGCCACAATGATTTATCAGTAGTCACCCTAAAGAAATTTTCCTAGAGAACACTCAGAAGTACATAAGCAGATCTAGCCTAAAACCTTGGAAGCATCAGCCTCATAATCATCAGTCTCCTACTCCAATCTTGATACAGGATCCATGAAAACAATTACCCTCACCAGTCAGTCCCAAATCAGTCAAGCTTAAGCCCTTTGACCTCTGTGCCTCACTACAGACTCATTAGTCTGCCTGGAAAAGCTGAGAAAGTTCCAAATACAAATCTTTTCTTTCCCCGCTGACCCAATTCCTAAGAAGTCTTGCAACTTGTTACCTTTGAAGTAACAGTATTTTGTGTTTGCTTCATTCAAAGAATAAACTTATTTCCTGCTATGTAACACTTAGTACAGACATTGAAAATGTCGTTTTAACTGCAGCAGGAAAATGTGCCCATTATGCAGAGAACCTTAAAGTATCAGATGAGCTGGTCAGTAGGGGAGGTAGCATAGCAAAGGGTAACACAGCCTCCAGTCAGTCTGCCAAGTTTAAAAACTCACTATTTAAACTTCAGCAAGTTTTTCTAACTGTAGAGATGATAATGCCTACCCTGCAGGATCCCTATGAAACCCTGGCTTAAAGTGCTTTCATTGTTCAAGGATAGATGCGATTCTTACTGTACCTTAACATTCAGCTCTAGGTTATCATACTACCACAGTTGATATCTTATTGATGGAATTTATATATTGCTCCATACCAAGAAAGCAGGAATAGGAAACTTGTTCTGCAAAGGGCAAGGTAGTATTTTCAGTCTTGCTGGTCAGTTGCAACTACTTAACTGCACTTTGTAGCACAAAGGCAGCCAGAGAATATACGCAAACACAAATAAGCATGGTAGCTGTATCACAATAAAACTTTACAGAGACTTAGATTTTAATTTCATGTAACAAAATATTATTAGTCTTTTGGTGCTTTTAACAAAAATGTAAAAACATGCTTAGTTTTTAGGCCATACAAAATCAAGAAGCAGGTTGGACTTGGCCTTTGGGTGCTCGTTTACCAGCCCAAGCTCTGGATTAACATGTTTATGGGCTTCGGAAGCTTTGTGGAGGCAGGGAGATTTGAATTGTTTCAGGATGCACAAGAAACTTCTTAGAAAAAATGCTGTCATTCACTTACTAACACTCAACTATGTGCAAAACATTTTTGAAATCACATGTGGTTGGAATCAAAGATGGAGCAGTCAGAGGCCCTGCTCTCAAGGAGTTGATAGCTCTCCAGAGACGGAAAGTATTCCTTCAAAATACAACCTATAGAGCTTTTACAGTGTATCCTGGCAGGCTAAAGACACAGAGAGTTCCTTTCCTTGGCAACTCTACCTACAGCCAAAGATGCTCAAAGTTAACTACCTGTTTCCTTCTCTCAGGAATTTCACTTTCAGCTCTTTCCCTCACCTCCAAATTATCTGTTTTTCATGATCATTTCATTCATGACATACCAAAGAGAGCAAGTCAACTGGCCCTAGTTAAAAAAAATGACCATTTAAACTAGTCTTCAAATATGACATTTCCCTTTTAATAAGTAACATGCTAGGGACTCCTGTGATTTTTCATTTCAATCCAGGTAGAACTTGTTCCTAGAAGATAAGTTAAACAGGTCTATTTTAGGGGAGGAAAAAAAGACACTTTAGTAAAATTTTTTCACAGTAAATGTTCTGAAGTATTTTATCCACAAGAATACAAAACAAATAAAACATGGACAAAATACAGTGCTTGGTACATATCTTAGTTGTTTCTAAAGATCGTGGATTTGAAATATTACAACAGAATCCTAGTCATCTCAATAGGTCATAACAAGTGAAAAACAGAAAGCAAAGATATTAAATAGGTAACAATTAAGAAAAAAAGTTGTTTGAAAATAAATTATTAATAAATATTATTGTTATGGCATGCAGTACATATTACACAATATTAATAAAAAACTGGTAAGGAAAATATTACTATTATTGGTTTCCAAGAATATTGAGTGAATGGCATTTCTCTTTAAGCATTTTCCTTATAAAAATTTGTAGGGGTCTCCCTGGTAGCACAAAGGGTTAAGATGCAAGCTATGAAGCTGTCCGCAGCCTCTGCAACATGAGTTCGATCCCCAGCTGCCCAGGGAGTTACCCATACGGCACAGCACACCTTTCCTGTCTCGCCCGCTGTTCCCCTCAGCAGTATACTTCAGTCAATCTGCCAGTTCTGTTCCCCACTCTGTCTCTGGTGAATCCTCTCACCCCCCACACCTCTGGCCTGTAGTCCAGTTCTTGTATGCATAAATAAATCTTTAAAAAAAAAATAAAAATTTGTAGTATTAATACCCTAAAGATAACAGAACACACCAAAAAAGTAAAAATCAGTACTCTAGTGTTTAACATTATCTTATTGAAAAGGTATAATGAGCAGGCACTGGTCTGAGAAAATTAAAAGTTGGTTTGACAAAAGGAATAATAAACTGAAGGGAAAGTTGGAGCTACTACAAATGCATTAGGGGAGTGCCATCAGCAGGATGAAGGGCTAAGAGGTCCCAATGCCAGTCTCCTCCCCTGCCCAAGAAAAACAGTAAGTAACTACAAATCAAAAAAAAAGGGGGGGGGCTCTGTTTCTCTAACTCTGAAAGAGTTCTAGTTTACAGGGAAGTAGGAAAACGCTACAGAGCTCAAAAATTGAGGATGGCCACGTAAGAAAAGCAGAGCAAGCACTTTGCCTGTCATCTCATTTCCCAGTCAAGAGTAGCTAAGTTTTAGAAGGATCCCCTCATAAGAATTTCACCCCATCGGGAAAAGAACAGAAACCCAGCAGGTCTTACCTTGTGGAGCTTTTGCTACTGAGGACCCCACAATCTTCCCCCATGCCACCACTGGTAGAGTTGCCCAGAGTCCCCTCTGTTCTGTCTCCAACTCAGGCTGGAGCTGTCACTGCAGTGAGACCTGATTCCAGGCACTGCCTTGCCTGCTCTCTGAGATCCAGATGCTGTAGGCCCCGATAACTGCCGCTGCTGAGCCCCACCCATGCTAGGCTAAAAGTTTGCCCACCATTACTGTGGCATCTGTCATCTTCCTTTCCGAGTTCTGTCATTCCGAGTCCCAAGTTATGCTTTGACTTCTATTACTAGGGCTGTTCCGCCACTGTTCTGAGCCTCACCCCTGGGTTCCAGGCATGGCTCTGACTTATCATAGCAGGGTCAAGCTGTGGCTGTTTTGCTACATACCTCTAGAGTCCCCAACACATAGTTTTAACAGGCTATGACCAGGAATGTGCTATTATTCTAATACAGTCATCTGGGGCCAGAGTTGGGGTCACACACCATCCCCAGGTAGTGCTGCTACTGCACTCTGTTCTTTGGCCCCATGTGACTACTGCATCCTACCATCCCAGGGCTTGTTGCATCTTCTGCTACATCTCTCCCTGCCTGAGTCACTGTGGCTAGCTGCAGAAACCTAAGCCTTGGTTCCATAGGCTATTTATACACACTTAAACTTAGACACCAGTGCTACTGATTTGCAAGTACATATGCCCAAGAATGCAAGCATTGTGATAGTTCCACACAGACCTGATCCAGGATCCCACTTCTGAGTGTCAGCATGCCAGACCAACAACCAGGAGTAATGCCCTCAGCCAGAACTTCCCCCCATGGGCAAAAAAAGGTGAACAGGAAGACCAGGGCAGCCTTTGTCTCTGATGACCCCAAGCGCCCCAGCCACCACTGTGACCCACAGGACCACAATAGTCTTAGCCATTGATGATCCCCTGTATCCGCTTGGTTAGCAAAGATGTTGCATCCCACCCAGTCGGTGTTCTCACAGTCAGTTTCAAGTGAAATTCTTTCCCACTGAAGCCAAGACCAAAGGCTGGAAGTGGTAACTGCTCTCTCAGACATGGAGATATCAATGCAAGCCATCAGAAACGTGCAAAAAAACAAACATGACACCACCAAAGGAACATAACATCCCAGTTACCCCAAAGAAATGAAGGTCTGTGAGTTTCCTGAAAAGGATTCAAAATAATCATTTTAAGGAAATTCAGGGAGATTCAAAAAGATGCAAACTCAGGGAGCTCAAGAAAACAATGCACAAACGAAATAAGAAGTTCGACAGACAGGAATCACAAAAAAGAACCAAACAGAAACGCTGAAGAAGACAGTGATTAAAAGGAAAATGCAACAGTTTCAATAGCAGACTCAATTAGGCAGAAGAATTTGTGAACTTGAAGACAGATCTCTTGATACTCTCCAGAGGGGAAAAAAAAAAAAAAATTAGAATGAAACAGTGAAGAAAGCATCCATGAATCATGGGCTACCATCCAGTGCAACGGCATCCACATTAGGGGAATTCCAGGAGAAGAAAGCAACCAACAGAAAACTTATTTAAGAAAATAATGGCTGGAAACTTCCCAATTCTAGGGAGAGAAATGGTTATCCAGGTACACGAAGTTCAAAGACAGAATAAAAATAGATCTTCATCAAGATATATTATAATCAAAATCTCAAAAATCAAAGAAAGAGGTAATTGTCAAAGCAGCAAGAGAAAAAAAGACCAATCACATACAAGGGAATCCTGACTAGGCCATATGCAGGTTTTTTTAGCAGAAATCTTGCAGACTAGGATAGAATGGGACTACAGTCATACATCCCTTAAAGATACTACCGTCAATGACAGACCATGTATACAAAGGTAGTCCAAATAGGCACTATCCTACAGCCTGGGTGCGCAGTAGGCTGTAGCACCTAGGGAGCATCATTACACCCTGACATTAGCACAACAAAATCATCTGACAAATTTCTCAGAATGTATTCCTCTTGTTAGGCGATACATGACTGTATATCTGAAGTGCTCAAAAAAACCAAAAAAAAAAAAACCCCGAAAAAACCCTGTTAACTGTACCCAGCAAAAATGACTTTCAGAAATGGACTTTTCCAGACCAAAAAAAAAAGTGAGAAAATTTATCACCACTAGTTCTGCTTTACAGGAAATGCTAAAGGGAGTTCTTCAAGCTGAAATGACAAGATGTTCATTAGTAAGATGAAAATGTATTAAAAGTATAAAATTCACTGGTAAAGATATTCAAATTCAAAATACTCTTAATAATGCAATGATGGTATGTAAATCACTTTGAACTCTAGCATATAGGTTAAAAGACTAAAATGTTAAAAATAAACGCAGCTACAGTATTTCATTAACAGATATGTAATGTAAAAAGATGTAAATTGGGATGTCGATAATAAAGTCTGAGGCACACAAGTAAGTGTGTAGATCTTTAATGGAATTGAATTTGTTATCAACTTGCTTAAAACAGACTGTTAAAATATAAAATGAATATGAAAGCCTCATGGTAACCACAAAGCAAAGACCTAAAGCAGTTACACAAATGATAAAAAAGAATCAAAGCATACCTCTACAAAAAATCATCAACTCACAAAGACAGAAAGAACAAAGGAACTACAAAACAGTCAGAAAACAATTAACAAAATGGAGACAGGAAGTCCTTTCCTAGCAACAATTATTCTAAATGTAACTGGTTTAAATTCTCCAATTAAAATACATAAGAGTGGTTGGAGGAAAAAACAAACAAGACCAAATAAAAGTCAAGTGTCGCTCAACATTTCAATGATGTGTCACATACATGACAGTGGTCCAAAGAGACTATGCCATACAGCCCTGGTAGGCTTACCATCTAGGTTGGGGTAATTACACTCTGACAGTCACACAATAATGAAATCAACTAACAATTCTCAGAATATAAGTGATACATAACTATGTATGCTGCCTAAAAGAGCTTCAATTCCCCAAGCTTTACAGACACTCACAGGCTGAATGTGGAGGGATGAAAAAAACACAGTCCATGCGCAAAACAAGACATCAGAGAGCAGTGATAGCTATACTTCTATCACACAAAACAACTGACTCAATAGCAGTAATAAGAGACAAAGAAGGTCATTATATAATGATAAAGGAATCAATTTATCAAGAGGATATAACAATTATAAATATATACATTCCCAATATTGGAGCACCTAAGAATATTAAACAATTATTAACAGAACTGAAGACAAAAGACAGTAATGCAATAACTGTAGGTAACTTCATACACTCCACTTTCAATAACAAATCATTTAGAAAATCAATAAAGGAATAAGCTTGAATGACATTTTAGACCAAATGGAACCCAACAAGTATATACAAACATTCCATTCAACAGCAGCAGAATATACATTCTTCTTAAGCACACGGTGAACATTCCTCAGAATAGATCACATTAGGTGACAAAATAAGTCTTAACAAATTTAAGATTAAGAAAAGATCAAGTATCTCTTCTGACTGCTATGGTAAGAAACCAGAAATCAGTTACGGAAGATGGAAAGTTCACAAATATACTGGAATTAAACACACTTCTGTGAAAAGAAGAGAATAAAAAATATTGAAATAAAAATAGTGTGTATATATATATATATATATATACACACAATGGAATATTACTCAGCCATATAAAAGAAATCCTCGTATTCACAGCAATGTTGGATAAGCCTAGAGTGTTAAATGGAGTAAGCCAGATGGAGAAAGACAAATACAATATGGTATCACTTACATGTAGAATCTAAATACACACAAAAGAGCCATTTTAAAAGAAACAGAAAATAGAATGCTGGCTGCCAAGGTCTGATGGTGGAAATAGGGTGATGTAGGTCAAAGGGTAGAAATTTTCAGCTGTAAGAATTAGTTCTGAGAATCTAATATAAAGAATACAAAGCATGGTGACTATACATTAATAATATAGTACTGTATACTTGAGGATGTTGAGATAAAATCTCAGACATTCTCACCACCAAAAACAGTTAACTATGTGAGGTAATGGGTATATTAATTATCTTGAGCTTTGTCATCAATCCACAAGGTAGATATATATGAAATCATCACATTTACACTTTAAATATATATAACTGTATTTGTCAATTATCCCTCAATAAATTTAAAAAGCTTCACTCGATAAAATAATTGGTTAAGCCAAAAGGGTATTAAGAGCTAACATTGAAAGTCTAAAAAAGAAGTACAAAATGACCTTGCTGGTATTTGGGAAATTTGGCAAAAAGAAAATAGGCAAAGAATTAGCAGCTTGATGTAGAAACAAAAGAGGACAAGGTTCCTTTGCCATTCTCAGACATCCCAATTAAAGGTTTAGCCACTGATGAGCAACTCTGGAAGCTAGGGAAAGAAAATTAGTTGTGCCACAGCATGAACCTGAATTCTCTGGTAAGGTGGTTATATGGAAAACCCCTAAGGCGTGTGCCTAAAGAAGCCAGCGGCCACAGCTCTAGAGCAATTTGCTATTTTCTATTCCTTTGCCCTGGCACAGTAATTCAGTAAATACTTGAATAAAGTTCTTTAAAACTTTGAACAATTTATGGTAAATTTATATGGGGCTATTGGTAATTCAAAAAATCTCAGCACATATCTATTCTATTCTAAATCCTAAAATATCTAGATTTCTTGTTTCATTATAATCCATATCAGGCTGTCTTTGTACACTTGTTATTTTTTATATTATACTGACTCTATGACTATTACTCAAAGTCAGAAATTCTTTCTTTCAAGCAAGAAACCACAACTCAAACTAAAAAAACAAAATGCTTACTTTTCTCCTTTGCATCAGTTAGACCTCTATAAAACTGATTTGATTATAATATATAAATCATTAAAATAAAGCAGCATCACAATTATTATCAGAAAGTAAAGTAAAGCAACACTGCTAATGAAATTGTACCATGAAAGCTGTAAGGGAAACTCAATTCTGAAAATACATATTTTTAGCTTCTAGATAAAGAAGAGTTTTATTTTCTCAGCTCCATAAAAACACTTTTGTTTTTAGAATGTTAAGAATTAAATATTTAACATTAGTGGTCACTCACTATGTGAAATCAGTTTTCAGTAATAAAAACATAAGGTAGAAAACATTTCACTTTATTAACCTCACTCATCATGTTCTATACAAATACAAAATGAAGTGATGACCATTATTTTAAGTCTATTTCAAAGCATGGCCTCTTAGATCTAAGAATTCGGGCAGATATATGTCACAAGAGGGCAGGAACCCAAAAGTCCAAAATCACCCCACCGATGTATCTGTATTATAAGTTCCAGTTCTAGCCCTTACAGTCCTTTATAAGGAATTTTCTTCTGACTCTTCCTTAATTTCATCAGTAACTGAATTTTTAATCAGACCCTATAAATTTATTACAAGTCTTCCAATTATGAACTGAAAAGAAATGTGGCAGATGTGTGCCAAGCACTTTATGACATTCACAACACACAGCTGAACTTCACATATAAACTTCAAAACTCAAAAGCACTATAAAATTCTTAAAACCAAAAGCTAGTAAATGCCCACCTTCCAATCTTTTGTACATTTCAAAAAGTTAATTTAATCTACTGATGCTAACACAGAATTAATTATATATTCTAAGATTAATAAATATGACATTCGAGGAGAGCACCAACAAGCCTTTGTATTTTAAAACCAAAGAAACACAGCTTGGACACCTTAAATTAAAAATTTCAGTTCTAAGCAGGAACTCTTACTGTGTAACCAATACTGTTCATATAAAAAGTGCTGGTGGCAAAGAATTCAACATGCCCTCCCCACAAAATCTGTTCATATACATATATGTATATATATATATCTATAGCTGTATAAGATTCCAAATATTTAAGGTGCTTAAATTTTGAGCTAATTCAATAAGTATTCATCTGCTACCTCTTTGTAGCAACTCCAGTTAGAGTGAGTGAATGATCCAAGGATAAAAGAGCAAAAATGCTGTTATTTCCTAGAATGTGGCATTTGTGGAGCTGGAGTGCCCTCTAGTGGCAATGAAGAGGACACACTCATTAACTGTCCCGCATGCATTTTCTCATTAATTCGGAGTTCACATCCGTCCTGAAGCATTCTGACTGCTATTCGTGCAATGTTCTTTGAGTCATCAAGACCACTGTGAGGCCGTCCATCATAATCCATGCCTAGTTTCTCAAGCATGATTGTCAGTTTGGTTTGGCTTCTAGGAACCTGAAAAATAGTTTAGTAAATAAATTTATAGTATTGTATAAGTCACTGTAAAGTTAAAAACAAATTGAAAATTTACAGTTATAGCTTAACAAAATTAGGCAAAGGGTAAATACTCTTGTTCAAATGAAGCAAATAACATAAGCTTTCAGTTTTAAAAAAATGATTTTAAAATTTTAGATAAAAATACATATAAACAGGTATCAAAAATCCTCAAGCTTTGTGATTTAAGAAATCATTTATGAAAAAAGAATGTATTGTTCTAGATAGATTATCTAAATTGAAGCTCTACCTTTTAAACACAAACTTAATTCTTTTGCATGATTATTTTCCTGTAATGTATTATTTTACTTGACTGACTTTTTTTTTTAGTTTTATTTTTTTTATTTAAATAATAAATTTTATTTTTATATTCCCCATACAATTGCAACCCCCCCATTCTGACCCCAATCCCTCCCCTCCTGCCCCCACCCCCCAAAAAGTATCTCTGGTTCATAGTTTTTTGTTGATTTTGATATTCACTTTCTTATAGTTATTCATTTTCCTGGTGCCTTATTTAAGTTTTCTAGATTCCTGCTATGAGTGAGACCATCCGGTATTTTTCTTTTTCTTTCTTAAGATACATAGAAGAGGGCCTCCCCTGGTGGCGCAGCGGTTGAGCGCTGGGCTGCGGGGCTGCCCACAGCCTCTGCAGCACCGGTTCGATCCCCAGCCACCAGTGAGGGTCCCACAGGGCACACAGACCTCTCCTGCCACCCGCTGCTCCCCTCAGCAGTGTATTTCTGCTCTGCTCCCTGCTCTGGCTCTGGTGAATTCTCTCACCCTCCCGCACTTCTGACTGTACCCAGTGCTTGTATAAATAAATCTTTAAAAAAAAAAAAAAGATACACAGAAGAATTTTAGCCTTTCAGCCTTTCTAAGTAACTAAATAAAGGCAATAAAGATAAAGAAAGATAATATTGGGTGGTATGTCAATCTATTTAAATACCTAATCACTTTTACAAACATAAAAATCTTACACATTCCCAAAATTCAAATATCCTCTCCACCCCAATATTTGGAACCCAACAGCTATCTCAAACAGACAATTCAAGAAATAGCATACATATATAAGAAACATGGGCTTTCCTGGTGGTCTAGGGGTTAAACCTCAGAGCTATCACTACTTAGGCCTGAATTTGATTCCCAGCTAGGGGGCTAACCCACATAGGGCACAGCAGACCTCTCCTGTCTCACCCACTGCTCCCCTCTGCAGTGTATTTCAGTAGATCTGCCTGTTGTGCACTGGTGAATCCTCTCACAACCCCCCTAGTCTGGCCTACATCCTAGTTCTTCTACACAAAAATAAAATAATCTCTTAAAAAAAAAAAAAGAAACATGAAGATTAATAGAAAAAACAACTTAAAAAAAAGTGAGTTTTTCTCTTAGGAGAATAGGGAGTAGTCCTGGTGAGGGTCATGATAAAAGACAGCCATTTATTCTGTCTCGCAATACTATTTTTAAATTTATAATAAATACATGTATCAATTTTTTACACTGAATACTCCTACAGCTTCAAACCTGTCATTGAACAGTACATATACGCAGTTAATCTATTTAAATAATTGTAACAAGTTAAATGAGAAATACAGCTTATGTTCCTAAACAACTATAATCATTTACTAACTTGGAATCTGAAAACTAACAACTAATTACATGGCCCTTTTCTGTGAAAAAGCACATAGTAAATCACAATTTAACATACATGAAAAATATAATAAATTTATCAAGAACAGTATAATAAATAAAATACAGAAATTTTACCTTGTAGAAGTTTCCATATGACTTTCGAATATTGATCCACTTTTTAGCAAAAGGAGGATATTTGAGTCTACTTAGCCGGCATTGAATATTCAGGAATTTACTCATATCCCATGAACTTAAAAACAAGAAAACAAATAGATAAATACAACACTATTCTTACAAATGAGTACTTTAAGTCAATTATTTGTTTTTTATTTACACATCACCTCTCTCATAGTAACACATAACATCCAGCTTGGAAAATAAACCTCTTTTCTTCAAAAACACCAACTGAGAAGTAAAATTTAAAAAACAAAGAAAATACAAGTGAGGTATATTAAATTTTCCTTCATTAATTCTTGTTAGGTTCATTTTTTCCCCCCAATCACCATCCCTTGTGTCATTTTGATCATTTTTACAGTTCTGGCTACCGGGGCAGACCTCAATCTGGTGTGGTATATGGTCATAATTCTAAATTAACTGTGAAGTTTACTTTTAATGTCAGATTTATCACATGAAGTTCTTTGAGAAGGTGCTTTGAAACAAACCAACAAACAATGAGCAAAATTGTTGAAAGAGACAAGAGTAGTTGGCATCAAGCAGTTAATGAGCAACTTGATTACTATGGCATGTTTCTGTAACACTAATCAACTTGTGCTAGTATGAAATTGTACAGGTTTTAAATGGTCTGTCCAGAATCAAACATACTATACTATGATAAACACCTGTATACTTTAGCAGGACTATTGCTCATTAGTGTTTAAAATCAGTAACAGATTTCTAAACATTTCCCAAAACTTCTGTTTTTAAACACAATTATGACGTGATTAAATACAATGTTCTTTCCCATTGTATGAGGGGCCCTATATCCTTTACATGTAGGTGACATCACAACTTTAGTGTACAATCTCTCCATAGTTTGAAACAGAAGTTGATTAGGACTTTTCTTCAACCTTAATTACATTATAGTATATGAGCTATCTTTGCACAATGCTTATAATACTTGTTTTTGTTTTTTTTTAAGATTTATTTATTTATACAAGCACTGGGTACAGTCAGAAGCACAGGAGGGTGAGAGAATTCACCAGAGCCAGAGCAGGGAACAGAATAGGCAGAATGACGAAGTACACTGCTGAGGGGAGCAGCAGGCGACAGGAGAAGTCTGCATGCCATGTGGGACCCTTGCCCAGCAGCCGGGGATTGAACTGGTGCTACAGAGGCTGCGCGCAGCTTCGTAGCCCAGCACTCAACTGCTGCGCCACAAGGGGAGACTCTGTAATACTTGTTTTAATCTTTCTAATCCTCCCACTTAGCTTTTTATTTAACATGCTTTTTGTCACACTTTGAGTGCAGCACTACAGTGAGTGCTTTCACTTACTGCACAATACAATATGTATACAACTTAGAATAACACGTAGAAGATTATCAAGTAGCAAAAAATCTTACTCTGAATAGATTATCAAAGCCCTTGCAAATATAAATACAGCTTAAATATCTAGTCAGAAGTCAGAAGCTAAATGAATGGTACATATCATAACAGATGTAAGAGTTCAAGAAAAAAAGATCACTATGAGTTGGAGTGTCTGGAGTAAAAGACAAGGTGGGCTTTGAACAGTCAAGAAAGAGAACCTTCCTCCTGAAAAAAAAAAAGAAGGGAATGGAGGCATCACACTCCCAGACTTCAAACTATACTACAAAGCCATAATCATCAAAACTGCATGGTATTGGAACAAGAACAGACACACAGACCAATGGAATCAAATAGAAAATCCAGAAATAAACCCACAGATTGATGGTCAACTGATCTTTGACAAAGGAGCAAAGAATATGCACTGGAGCAAAGAAAGTTTGTTCAATAAATGGTGCTGGGAAAACTGGGTCGCTACATGCAAAAAAATGAAGCTTGACCACTACCTCACACCATACACAAAAACCAACTCAAAATGGATTAAAGAACTAGACTAAGACCTGAAACCATAAAATACATAGAAGGAAATATAGGCGAAACACTACGTGATATGCACATCAAAGACATCTTTGCAGACACATCACCCAAAGCAGTGATAGTGAAGGCAAAGATCAACAGCTGGGACTACATCAAATTAAAGAGCTTCTGCACAGCAAAAGAGACAATAACAAAAACAAAGAGAAACCCCACTGACTGGGAGAACATTTTTGCATACAACACTAATGATAAAGGACTGATCACAAAAATCTACAAAGAGCTGATGAGACTCAACAACAACAAAGAAAATAATCCTGTCAAAAACTGGGCAGAAGAGCTAAAAAGAAACTTCTCTGAAGAGGAAATGCAAATGGCCAACAGGCATATGAAAAAATGTTCAACATCACTTGTAATCAGGGAAATGCAAATCAAAATTACCATGAGATACCATCTTACACCAGTGAGAATGGCACATACTAAAATAACTAGCAACAACAAATGTTGGCGAGGTTGTGGAGAAAAAGGAACTCTCCTGCACTGTTGGTGGGAGTGCAAACTGGTCCAACCACTATGGAGAGTTGTGTGGAGATTTCTGGACCTACTAAACATAGAGCTTCCATATGATCCAGCAATTCCACTCCTAGGTATTTACCCAAAGGACACAGAAACATCAATTCCAAAGAGCACCTGCACTCCTATGTTTATAGCAGCACTGTTTACAATAGCTAAGCTTTGGAAACAACCCAAATGCCCAAAAATAGATGACTGGATCAAGAAGATGTGGTACATATACACCATGGAATATTACTCAGCATACAAAAAAGATAAACACATGCAATTTGCAGCAACATGGATGGAGCTGGAAGGGATCATGCTCAGAGAAATAAGCCAGAAAGAAAAAGAAAAATACCGGATGGTCTCACTCAGAGCAGGAATCTAGAAAACTTAAATAAGGGACCAGGAAAATGAATAACTATAAGAAAGTGAAAATCAAAATCAACAAAAACCTGGGGGCGGGGAGGGGAGGGAGTGGAGTCAAAATAAGGGGGTTGCAATTGTATGGGGAATATAAAAATAAAATTTATTTTAAAAAAAATAGAAAGAAAGAGAGCCTTTGAGTAGAGAGAAAAGGATGAATAAGTACACAAACGACTTCTCAGCTAGGAGTGTCATGATAATTTTAGTAAAGTTGTTTTAGTATTATGTATTGTTATGCATCTTTCTCTAATCCCCTAGTCTTGGATTAAATTTATCATTGCTTTTTTCCTTCTTTTTGATCCTTAGAATTAACATTAAACTAGAAATTAAGAAAGGAAAAATAATGCTTTCTGAAGGGAACTTTAGTACTGTTAGTAAGTAATACCTTTTGTGGAATTCTGAAAGTTAAGTGAAAGGGTATATTTAATCTTAAAAAACAGATTTAAAAAGACAACTTACCCATCTGTCAATATGGAATACTTATACTTTGTTCCTAACTCCTTTAATTTCATCCAGTCAATTACTTTTTTCAGTACCTGAGGGAAGGTATCAGCTCTGTCCACCTGATCCTGAAGATATAAAAGCAAAATATATTAAAAAAATCTGCGCCTTTACATAAAGTCGTATAAAAATACCTAGACATTGGAGGGAAAACAACAATGTGATGTTTTATATTCTTCATGATTTCCTTGTCCGAGGTTCACTAAACATTTCATTTTGAAGGCAATTAAAAATCATTTATAGCCAAGTATTAGAGACGAGTATCAATTGAAGTATGTAATCCTCCCAAAATCAGATTTAAGATAATCCCCTAGTGGCTCTCTCTGCCTCTCTTCTAATCTTCACTATCACAAAGTAATTTTTTTTCATTATTAGTTTTCTCATGTTGTGAGTCAAGTCTATGATTAAAAAAACTTGGATGACTGGATCTTTTGAGGGGGAGCGGAAAGAAGAGGAGGAGAGAGTGTTTTCCTTTCTAAGCTTCATTCTAGTGGCTAATTTTTCAGGGACAAAAAGGGAAATTTCTCTCAGCTAAAAGTTATACTCCCCTAAAGTTAGTCTCCTAACCTCAAAGCTCACATCTTTCTACAACATACTATACACCACTGCCAGACTGATCTTCCTAAAATGTAAATCTGACCCATCATTTTCATACCCAAAATTCTCCAAACACTTCCAAGGCTTTCAGGACAATCAGACTGTTCACAATCTGGCTTGCTTCTGCCTATCACTTCAGCTTAATTTGTGACACTTTCTTAACAATCCATACATATTTGAATGATTCCAAACAACTAACAGTTCTGCTGTCAGATCCAAAATGCCCAATCATTCTTTTCTGCCAATTTACCTACAATGACTCAGCCCAAGTCCACCAACTTGGGGATGTTTATTCCAGGACAGCCTTTCCATCCCCTCTGTCACAGACAGCCCATTTATAGATGCCCACAATAGCCTGAGATAAAACATTGACTTTCTAGCCATATTGTGACTACTGGTTTATTCTGTCTGTCCTAACTTAGATTGTGAACATAGGACAGACAATAACTTGACTATTTTTATACCCCAAATACCTTGGCAAATATTACAGTGCACTCATATAGTCAGTAAGTGAGTGAATGATTGAATAAAACAACTATGTAAATGAACAAAGGGTCTACCGCATTAGAATATAACCAAAAATCAGAGACTTTAAAAAAATAACTTATACGTAAAGTCAAATTGTAATAGAAAATTTTAATAACTTCATCTGCAAGTCCAGCATGGCAGTACTTATTTTACTAATGCTGCAAGCAAATGAAATCTTTATTTATTTGTTTACTTTTAGGGAATTTTATTTATTCTTGTATAGAAGACTGGGATATAGGCCATAGATGTAGGGGGTGAGAGAGTTCACCGAGACAGAATGGGGAACAGAACAGGCAGATCTACTGAAATACACCGCTGAGGGGAGCAGCAGGTGAGAAAGGAGAGGTCTGCTGTGCCATATGTGGATTAGCTCCCTGGCCCGGGATCAAACTCAGGCCTAAGTGGTGATAGCACTGAGACTTAAACCCCAGGCCACTAGGGAGACCTGCAAATGAAATATTTAGAGTTATCAATACAACTCCTTAAAAAGGAAAGTCTTAGAAAATTTTTACCAGGTTTAAAATCTGCTTTTTCTTTTTTTTTGTTTTTTAAAACAACTCTATTGGAGCATAACATGTGTACAATAAACTGATGTGTTTAAAATGTGGAAGTTTGGTAAATTTTTTGTGTCTGCATATATCATCTCTATAATCACAATGTTGAAAATATCCATCACCCCAAAAAGTGTCCTTCTGCTCCTTAGTAATCCCTATCATTGTCCCCAGGTAACACTGGTTTGCTTTCTGTCACTACAGACTAGTTTGCTTCTCTACTCTTTAATTATCACAGTATAAAAGATCTTTACCAAGCAAGGAAAGTATCATACTATTTTAAATATTTTTTACAATAATCTTTTTAAACTATGAAATCAATCCCTAATTTCAAAACTCTTTCATACTCAAAAAAAAGAACATAGAATTATAACCTGAGTGATCCCAGTTAGATTGATGCAGAAATCAGAAAGTTGTGTGTTAATCTCTGGTCTCACATACTGCTGAAATGTATCTTCCTATAAGGGAAGGACAGCAAGTTAAATGTTAAAATATTTCTATGACTTAAGATGCATGACACATGATATATAACAAATTCAGTCACAGGAAGTTGTAACTTCTAGGTGCTCACATACAGACTTTTTAGAGTTTGACAATTATGGATAATTCTCCACTACCAAAACACTCTAATTTTTTAATTAAAAAATTTCTTCTTAATAATAAAATTTAAAGAGAAAAGCCAAGTGCCTGGAAAGCAAGTTTCAAAACCAAAGTAAACATTTTCCTAAAAAACAAAGTGTTAATAATTTTCTTTTAATAGTTTAGAACTGTAAAAACCACTTCAAGATAGTTTTTTAAATGGTAACAAATTCTTTTGTGGCATGTTATTCTTCAGTTATAATGCTCTAGATTACTCTATAATGCTCTAGATTACTCTAGATTACTGCACTCTCATTTACTCCTCAGCAGTCCTTATTTTAATAGATTCCACTAAACTGAATTCTGAATACTCAAAATTTGACATGATATGTAGTAATTTACAAGCTGTTAATACTACATTTCTGTAGCAATTTTTAACCTCTTCAAACAGTTTTCATGCTTGTCTTCTCATTTTATACTCGCATTCAGTGAACTCTGGAAGGTCAGTATGGTTGAACATCATCAGGTTCAGATCTCTATGCGCTTTTTCTCTAAACCAATACTGGCTCCCTGAACCAGATTGCCCTAAGTCACTTGTTAAAAATTAAGGATAATTTCAAAACCTATAGGTTTCGAGTTAGCAACTTTTAATACTGTGTGGATATGAGAAAAAGACAAAATACTCTTTGTGACATAAGACTGAAAAATTAAGAAAAGTAAACATTTATACTTCCTAAAAATGAATATCTTTCTCTATACTAATGTATTAAGCTGAATTATAAACGGTTATTAACACCTGTAAAACAGCAAAGAACAGTAAAGAATATTCTTACTTCAAAAGTTAGATATTTACTTACCAGATATATCACAGAAGAAAAAATTTTATTTAATCTCACAGTTAAATGAAGTCTATATTCTTTTGTCAAATTTTTTTTATAATTTTAAAAGAAAATCTTTCAAAAATATATGGCAAAACTTTCCTTACTATTACAAGCTGATAATACTGAATATAACATTCATAAAGTTTTATTCATTATTTAACACTATTAACAGAATGATGCTATAGAGAACTAGGTAGGAGTATTAAAAAAAAAAATGAAGTAGAGCAGTTAAGGGGCTGTTGCAACAATATTATTAAATAGGTATCCAGATAGTCTTTATCTAGAAAATGAGGTGCAAGGTAGGGTGAGGAGGAAGGAAGGGCTGGAGGTAGGAGGAAGGGAAGGAGCAGCAAGCCCCCTGAAGGAGAGGAATCAGAGCCAAAGCTCTGGCAGGTGCGGAGGTAGCACATGTGGGGCTTTTCTGAGAAACAGCAAGCAGGTCAAGATAACACAATTAGAGGCCAGATCATATAAGGAACATGGTTTTTACTCTGAGTGAAATGGAGAATCACTGATGGGTTTTAAACAGAGGAGTGAAATGATCTTACTTATATTTTATAAGGATTAATCTGGCCACTAAGTTAAGAGTTGGCTATCGGGAGACAAGGATTAAACAAAGACCAGCTAGATGGTAAATGCAATAAATGCAGACAAAAAAATGATCAGGGCTCAGATAGGAGTCATTGCAATGCAGTTAAGTGGCTGGGTTCTGCATATACTTTGAAGGCAGAGAAACAGGAGTCAGTGTTGGTCTGGGTGAATGAGAAAGAAACAGCTGGAGTAAAGGACATCTCCATGGTTTCTAAAATGAGCATTAGAAAGACAAGAATTGGTGGGGGCCTCCCTGGTGGCCTCGGGGTTAAGTCTTAGCGCTACCACCCCACCGCCAAGGACTCAGTTCCATTACTGGCCACAGAGTTATCACACAGAGGGCGCAGCAGACCTCTGCTATCTCACCCACTGTACCCCTCAGTAGTGTATTTCAGTAAATCTGCCTGTTCTGCTCCTCACTCTGTCTCTGGTGAATCTTCTCACCCTCCACACCTCTGGCCTACACCCCTGTTCTTCCACACACAAAAAATAAAATCTTTTTTTAAAGAAAGTATCATTACTCAAGCTAAGTAAGGCAGAAAATAGGGTAAGTTCAATTTGTGATATGTTAAAGATGTCTGTTTAAATGTCCAAGTAGAGATGTCAAATAGGCAGTCTGGGTTTGAGACAGAGGTCCAGGTTGGAGAGATCTATTTGGCATAGATCAGCATTATAGTATCTAAAAGTTAAAGAACTAGATGAGATCATTAAAGGGGATCTATAGGGAAAAGAGGAAGTAGGTTTGAACCCTGAGGAGTCTGCCATTAGGAAGCTGGGAAGAAAAGGAGGTAATAGCAAAGCAAATGGGAATCCAATAAGGCTGGAGAAAAATCAAGAGAATGAGGTATACTAGCTGTCACTTGAAGAAAGTGCTTCAGGTACAGAGAAGTGAAATTCTACCAGAATTTAGGTAAAGGTCAAAGATGACACTGATAAGTGATTTTAATGGAGTGATGGGATTTAAACCCCAGTGGTGTCAGTTTAAGAGAGAATGGGAGGAAACAGAGACAGAAATACACATAATTTCTTTAAAGAAATTTGATGTGAAAGAACAAAGAAATGGCATAAATGGGAATGAGTGAAAGCTTTTTATGTAAAATAACGTGTCTGTATATGACAGGAATATAGTAGGAAGCAATAAATCATTAATGTGTAAATGAGAAAAGGGAATTGCTAGAGCAGTGGAATCTACTGTGAAATGCAATATTATTTACCTTCATAGCTGATGTTTTTTCCTTTTCATTTATTAACCTCTAATCTGCTTTGAACAATAAAATTATGTAAATAGAATGATTAAGAATATAATTAAAACAGGCTTTGACAAGACTTAAGGAAAAATTTGTGCATTTTAATACATAAACTATTTAATACTTAATCGCATAATACTTAACAAGAGAAACCACAGAAGTAACTTGAGGGTAGCTGACATGTTAGATTTTACAAGGCAAATGGTATTCTTTGAGAATTCTTGCTGACTTTCTGAACTAATAATGCACTAACAACTACCTAAAGCATATATACATACATACATATATATATACATATATATATAAATAAAATAAGCTAAGGTTCAAAGAGTCACTACCCCATAAACTTTTCATTAGGGAGACGGATAGTTGTCAGTTGAAAGGTGATTTCTGAAATTTATTATTTTCAGAAATCAGAGTACACATTAGTGTACTAGTGTTCATAAATGTAGGTTCTTAACCTGACTATATATCAACCAGAAAGTTTTGTTATAAAGCTATTTCAGGGCCTCCCTGGTGGAGCAGAGGGTTGAGCGCAGCCCTGTGGAGCTGTCCGCATTCTCTGCACTGCTGGTTTGATTCCTGGCCTGCCGGGGAGATGCCCACATGATGTGGCAGACCTCTCCTGCCTCACCCGCTGTTCCCCTCAGCAGTGCTTTCGGTCATCTGCCTGTTCTGCTCGCCACTCTGTCTCTGGTGAATTCTCTCACCCTCCCACGCCTCTGGCCTGTTCCCCAGTTCTTGTATAAATAAATAAATCTTAAAAAAAAAAAAAGCTGATTTCAGGGCCCCACCACTTTTACAAATAAATCAGAAACTCTAGGACTAAGATCAGGCATCAGGTTATTTTGTTTTTGTTTTGTTTACTCCCCAGGAAATTCTAATGTCCAGCTAGATATATGTTCCAAGCAGAGGAAAAAAAATACTGTAATTTTGGCTACTGGCAAATGAGTAGACTATGAAATTATTTATTATACTTTTTCTATTTATCAAGCTGAAACAAAGTACACAGCAAAAGCAAAAACCCACTTTAGAATGGTAACTCTAGCTAAAACTACAAGTGAGATCTCTGCCTTTCCGGTGAATCCCAGAAATTGCTATAAAAGTGCAATTAAAGTATAACAATTTACTTACTATTTCTAAGGTATGAGTATTCAACAAGACAACAGGAAATTCAATTATTTCATGGATGAATTCAGGTGGGTTCCCTTCTTCACAAGTGGCTTCAAAGTCAATGATACAAATGTAGTCATAGTAACTGTCAGTACAACTGTCCTCTTTCAGCATCAGTTTCTGCTTCTTGTAATAGTTTTTCAGCCTCTTCTTTAGTACATCCTTTACTCCCCTAAGGAAAAATAAGAACAAAATTAAGTTATAGGCGAATTTTACAGTCAAGAATCTTAACTCTTTCCAGTGTATTGGCTTAAACAATGATAGTCACAATACACAATACAATTTAACAAATATTAGCAAAAATAAATGCAAAGAAAGCAAGATTCAAAGCTAAGTCAGGAAAGAACTAATTGTTAAAAAATCAATAAAACATCAGTGTTTTCCTCTGCAAGTAACTTTTTACTTATGTAGTATAAAATAGCATTTTCTCCTATATATACTGATATTTCAAACCCTAAGTCTTGTCAACATACACTGCCTATACGCCCATTATTACCTTATTTAAAAAGATGACATACATGATACAAAAACTGAAATTAACAATGAATTATTACACTGATCAAATACAAATTTCAGAGTATGAAAATTCAGTTAAACTGAACTTACCACGCTATGTCTTTCCCTTCTTATGACTTCTGAAAGTGAGAGAGCGCAACAAAACCCCATAACCATGAAAGGGTTATAACTTAAAAGCTGAATGCCTAGGACCTCCCTGGTGGCACAAAGAGTTAAGTCTTAGCATTATCAAGCTATTACCAGCACAACGAGTTCAATCCCTGGTCAGGGAGCTGACCCACATGGCACAGCAGACCTCTCCTGTGTCACCCACTGTTCCCCTCAGCAGTATGAGTAGATCTGCCTGTTCTGCTTCCCACTCTGTCTCTGGTGAATCCTCTCATCCCTCTTACCGCCTGCCCCAACCCACCTCTGTCTACACAACAGCTCTTGTATGCATAAACAAATCTTTTTGAAAAAGCTCAATGCCTATTAACTACCTAACTAGAAAAACTAACATAGAAGATATCAATGAGTGAACCATGTCCACAAGAATACTGTCATACTCAGTAGGTCCTAATTGGAAGGCTTCTTAACTTATCTTGAGTATAATATTTAGGACATTACGCGTATTTTCAAAATATATGTACCACAAACAGGAAGGTGTGGAGGGGAAAAGGTTGTTTTAAATAGGTAACAATGGTTGATAATGTTGGTCATGTGCTTCATACATTACGTTTCTTTAAAAACTGAAAAGTCACACCCGATACTAGAATTTGCTTGGATGTTGCTTGGGTGCTATTATGATTTGCAGATATAAAATGGTAGTAAAAATAAGAACTTGCCCTAATTAAAATTTAACAAGGCATTTTGGTCACATCACCCATTAATGACTATTAAAAATATTTGTTGGCCTTTTGTTTTCCTTTTTAAACTACCATTGAAAAAGAATCCAAAGCATGAAAGGAACCAATAATTAACCATGTAGATGTTTTAAGACAAAATGTCTTAATATGTTTGTTTGCCATTTTCCAAATTACTAAAACCTAGGAAGGAAGTTTAACTCCTTCCATTAGTGAGTGACTATGTCATGTGACAACTTTAAATGACTTTGTCTTTATTCCTTTTGCTTGGAGAAACTACATCCATTAAAGGATTACCTGCAAGCATAGCAGCAACACAAATACACCAGTTGCTCCAGAAAAACTTGCCATCTCCCTTGCTCATTCATATCTAAATAACCACCATTTCTGTCAATTCCAATTCAGAATCTGATTGTCCTTAATTCTCTCTGGCATATTCTGCCATTAGCTTCTTGGACAATGGCACATTACTTCACTATCACAATCAGTCTTCACCTTAGGAATTAAGAACTAATGCCAATTCCCTGCTAAAATACCTTCAGTGGTTCCCTTCTGCTTACAACATAAAATGCAGACTTTAGCACTGAGTTCCTTCACAAGTTGGCTACCACCTATGATTTTAGTATCATCTTCAAATGTTCCCATTCCCCACGGTATGTGGCATACTGCAAACAAGACATAAGTCACTGCTTCATGTGTGGTACACATTCATGTTCTATAACTTGCACAACAGCTGAAAAAAAAGCCAGACCATGTACTGAGTTGTGTTTGCAATAAAATACCTTCCTTTCTGCTTGGCCCACAAAATTCAAGTGCCACATCTGGAATTCCTTAATTCTTATGTATTCCTATGCTGCACCTGGACAGACCTTCAATAAAGCACTGGTGACTCTGTACTGTGATTGTGTTTTTTCCCAAGAGACTGTGAACTGCCCAAAAAAGGGAATATATCTGTTTTAACTTTGTAACTTCAATGCCTACTACAGTGCTTAAAAATAACCAAGTGTGGCCTCCCTGGTGGTTCAGGGGTTAAAGACACAGTGCTGTCAAGCCATTTCTAGTCATTGCAAAATGAGTTCTGAGTTTGATTTCCAGCCAGGGGGCTGACCCACATGGTGCAGCAGATATCACCTATCTTGCCTGCTGCTCCCCTCAGCAGTGTATTTCAGTAGATCCACCTGCTCTGCTCCACACTCTGTTTCTAGTTATCTTCTCAAGCCCCATACCTCTGGCCTATACCCCAGTTCTTGTATGCATAAATAAATAAATCTTTAAAAATAAAAAGGTGTGGAGGGGAAAAAAAAGGTGTGGAGGGGTTATTTTTATAACCAAGTGCTTGCTGAATGAAGGTATAAACATACATCTACATCTCTGGTTCCCATGCATGTCAGAAGTATTGATTCTCACACCTTAGGAGGACAAAAATTTTGCTAAAGGTTGCACCTTCATAACAGAGTCAGGTAGACATTAGGTAAAAATTCTCTTCACAATTATGACCCAGACAATCTAAAAGGGAAAAATTATACATGTGTACTTTTTAAAAAATAGTAAAGCTCCATTTCGAAGCAAAAGAGGAAGATATGACTTATAAGGGAGTAAGGATTCAGGAGTACTCAGAAACAAAACAGACTTCATCTAGTACATGTTGTCACTTTCTTTCTTAGTGCATGGCAGTTCTACTATCAATAAAAAATTCAAGTTTTCCTGGATTCCATGCACCAAATAAAAAATAAAGTGATTCCGTTTTGCAAGAAATTATTAAAAACTTATGTATACATTTCATTGAAAATACATACACAAACACAAAGCTGGCTAAGCTACACTGTTTTCTCATTCAATACAAGTTTAAACATAATGCACAGTATCATTATGTATATTTTTACTAAACAGAACTAAAACATAAAAAATGTATTTCCTAGTAGGTGATTTCTTAAAATTACCTGGTTTCAAAGGAAATCTCTTTATAAAAACAAAGGAAAATAGTGCACAACAGAAAATTAAAGAAAAATATTTACTCTCAATAAAACAAGATGTAAGGGCCTCCCCAGTGACGCAGCGGTTGCTGGGTTGCAAAGCTGCCCGCAGCCTCTGCAGTGCGGGTTCGTTCCCCAGCCACTGGGCGAGGGTCCCACATGGTACGCAGACCTCTCCTGCCGCCCGCTGCTCCCCTCAGCAGTGTACTTCAGTCAGTCTGCCTGTTCTGTTTCCCGCTCTGGTGAATTCTCTCACCCACCCATGCTTCTGACTGTACCCAGTGCTTATATAAATAAATAAATAAATCTTTAAAAAAAAAAAAAAAACACAAGATGTAATTTTCCAAGAACCAAACAGACAATAACAAAATTTTGAAACAATCTTGATATGTAAGACACATACTTCTATACATTGCTGGTAGATCTTCAATATATTCTTAAACTTCAAATCAAGTATCTTGGTATACCATCTAAAAAGCTGACAGAAATAATCAAGATTTGTACACAAAGAATCTCATATAAGAATTAAATGACAGTCGTCATATGTGGTACACGTTCATGTTCTCTAGCTTGCACAATAGCTGAAAAGAAAGCCAGAGCAGGGCCTCCCCGGTGGCACAGTGGTTGAGCGCTGGGTTGCGAGGCTGCCCGCAGCCTCTGCAGCACCGGTTCGATTCCCGGCTGCTCCCCGGCCACCAGAGGAGGGTCCCATGTGGCGCGCAGACCTCTCCTGCCGCCCGCTGCTCCCCTCAGCAGTGTACCTCGGTCCTTTTGCCTGCTCTGCTCCCCGCTCTGGCTCTGGTGAATTCTCTCACCCTCCCGCGCTTCTGACTGTACCCAGTGCTTGTATAAATAAAATAAAATAAAAATAAATCTTCAAAAAAAATAAAAAGTCTAAAAAAAAAAAAGCCAGAGCATGTATTGAGCTGTGTTTGCAATAAAATACCTTGTGTTAATAATGGTTATTTCTTTATGGTAAGATTGTATTTCTGAATTTTCAGTGTTTCCAAGATTTTTGGCAAGAGTTTCTAGAAAGTTACTTATATAATTTTAAAGAGTTATTTTTAATTACCTGGTTTCCAGTTTGAACTCTGAAAGTTTAGCTCTGAGTTCCTCCTTACTCATCCTATTAATGCAACCATTCGTGATAGCAATCTCTTTGTAAACTGGGTCACTGAAATCACTTGTACTGGAGGTAATGAACTTGGATCCTTTTGTATCTTGGCCATCGAATCTACATCGTTGCTTTTTCTACCAAAAGAAAAGAAACACAGCCACAGTTTAATATTAGTTCAAACATCTTCAAGGTTCAAATCCTAAGGCATCTTTATGTTACATATTTAATGAATAGTGCCTACTGTAGTTGCTGAGGGAGTTAAGTATAGGAAGATATGTTTCCAATACAATTTACCCTTCTCTCCTATGAGTAATGCAGTTCCTTAAAGGCAATGATGCTAAGTAAAAAGAAGCGATGTTGGGATTACAACCACCACAGCACAGAGCTCCAGCTGACCATTTACTAGTAGCATGATCTTGGGTAGCTACTTACTGGCCTTTGATCTTCAGTTTCCTTATCTATAAAATAAAGTAAAATAATAATTATCTCAAATAGTATTTAGTAATGGTAAATAGAATTTGGGAAAGACCATTCTAAGAATTAAATGAGGTTATATATATCAGGCTCCTAATAACATAGCCACTGTGGCTATTAATAATTTTTGTAATCACGCACTGCAGAACAAATCTTTTCACTAATGATATTCTAAAAATGACAAATCAATTTTAAATTTAAAAATGACAAACATTTAAGTTTGTCATAAATCAATGACTTCTGAGAATTTTTTAACCTGATTTTATTTCACAAAGAAAATGTCCAATATAAAAACAAAATGGACTAGAAGGCTAGTTAAAAACTTCCTTGGACGCAAAGAAGGAAACATTCAGTTTCAAAACACAAAAGCTACATATGTACTAATTGGCTTTTGTATGGACAAAAACCTATTTTCTTTTCATAAATCAAAACTGGTGTTAAAACATGACCTGATTCTTATCATTCCCAGTTAGTCCAGAATTACTAAATGTTCCACATGCAATATTACAAATTTTAGGTATGTTGCAGAATTCCCCAAATACTTCAGTTCTTACTATTAATCCATATTAAAGCTTGTTAATTTAGTTATAATTTGCTTCACTGCCCCCATGTGAACTGCAATTACAAATTAAGAAGGGATAACGAGGGCCTCCCTGGTGTCTGTTTCAGTCAATCCACCTGTTCTGCTCCCCACTCTATGCCTGGTGAATCCTTTCACCCAATGAACCTCTGGCCTAGACCCAAGTTCTTGTATGCATAAATAAATAAAATAAAACTTTTTTAAAAAGGGGAGGGGATAACCATAGACAGGCCCACAGTTTCTGATTCAGTTCCTGAATTAAAACTGATCCTGATGATTCAGGGACTCTTTTCTACTTTCAGGTCTTAATTTAATACAACACGTTTATTGGAAAAGTAATACTATGCTAAAATACTCAAGAATTACTTCTATCTGCTTTGAGGAATAGGTCAGTTATTTCAAAGTGTGAACTGTCCACAAATTAAGGAATAATTAAGGTGCTCCCTGCTGACAAATGTATAAACTATTATACTGATCTATGAAAAAGAAAACAATCAGCTTTCCAGAACATTTTAAATTTCTGATAACTGTTACTTTATCACTCAATCTAATCCAGATAATATAGCCTTTGTATCTAAACTTATTTTGAATTTTAAACTTCATCTTCGATGGAAGACTAAAACTAGGTCAACAGGGCCTCCCTGGTGGCACAAGGGTTAACGCGCAACCTATGAAGCAATCTGCAGCCACTGCAGCACCAGTTTGATTCCCGGCTGACCAGGGAGAAACCCTCATGGAGGGACAGACCTCTCCTATCTTGCCCACTGCTCCCCTCAGTAGTGAACTTTGGTCCATCTGCCTGTTCTGTTCCCCGCTCTGTCTCCGGTGAATCCTCTCACCCCCCCCCCGCATCTCTGGCCTGTACCCCAATTCTTGTATAAAAATGAATAAATCTAAAAAAATAATAAAATAAAATTAGGTTAACAACAAATAACAGTTTATCTACCAAAACAGATATCCTGGTTAATTTAAGCAAATTTTCACTTTGGTTAGATTCTCTCTTTGATTCGCTACCTTATCTAAAACTATAACCAAAAAAATTACCCACAAGTAACTCTTAGACTCTGCCAGCTAGGCTATAAAGAATAATTTCTACTAAGAGAGATCTGCTTCCTCTCAAGGTTCAACTCTAGTCTCTTCTTTCAGTCAAGTTTGAGTTACAGTCAAGGTCCCATTCTCAGCGACCAGTGTCCTTCCAAATTTCAGGTCTACATTAATGGTTTCCAAAGAATACTCAAGTCAATACACAAAGGGGCAGGAAGAAAATATTAAAAAACCTACATGGAGTAACCTACAAAAACACAAAATTAGTTTACTTAATAGTACAGTGATGGACAATGGCATCCTCCTCCATTTCTGTGTATCATCTGTCCCATGTCACACACAGTACTGGCCTTATATAGTAAGAGGAGACAGATTCCACAGTAAGGAAAGAAATACCTTCACAGTACTGGGACATTTTTTACTTTCCACGTGTCAAAGTAAGTGGCTGTATGGTTTGTACATATTATCCAAATAAGAGAATCTTTACATAATGGGAAACGACTACAGAAAATCTAATGTACCAAACAAAGATTTACTGTGAGATGCAGTTAGCAATAGAAATTTGAACCAGAACCTGTGTGACAAAGTACTTAAAAGCATTGTTGAACTTGAAATTACATATCTTCATTTACATAGACAGGTATTCCAAAATTGTTTTCCTTTTTTATAATCATGAACTGTTTTCCTTTTCTAAGTTGATAGCTTGATCCTCAGAACTTTTCTTTTTAAAGATTTATTTTATTTATTTATTCATACAAGAGTTGGGGTGTAGGCCAGAGGTGTGGAGGTGGTAAGAGGATTCACCAGAGATAGAGTGCGGGAGCAGAATAGGTGGATTAACTGAAGTACACTGCTGAGGGGAGCAGTGGGTGAGACAGGAGAGGTCTGCTGGGCTCCCTGGCCAGGGATCAAACTTGTGCTGCAGTGGTTGACCATAGCTTTATAGTGCTAAGACTTAACCCTTGCACCATTAAAACCAATTTGGAACATAGGCTTTCAAATGTAATAAAGTATACTCATAACCATATCGCACTTATTAAATATATAAACTTTAAAAAATTATTTTTTAAATAATAATTGCGCCTCCCTGGTGGCACAAGGGGTTAAGCACTGCACTATGAAGCAATTTGCAGCTCTGCAGCGCAAGTTTGATCCCCAGCCAGCCAGGGAGCTGCCCACATGGTGCAGCAGACCTCTCCTGACTTGCCCACTGCTCCCCTCAGCAGTGTTTTTGGTTTGTCTGCCTGTTCTGCTCCCCAATCCGGTCTCTGGTGAATCCTCTCACACCGCCCCGCCCCCCACCTCTGGCCTGTGCCCCGGCTCTTCTATGCATAAATAAATCTTTAAAAAATAAATAGATGAATAATTATTTTGAAACTGACTGATATGATGATGCTATTGACAGTATCTGAGATTGAAGAGAGAGGTGAAGCAGAAGAGTGTTCTTTAGAGAGAAGGGACACTGGAGAGATATTGTTTAAAATGTTATCATTAAGGAAAATGAGAAACTGCAAAGAACCAGAATAACATTCTGGGCAAAAGGAGCATACAAAGATCCTTAACCAGAAAGACTACCCATCCTAAAAGCACCAAGGAAGCCAGGGGACTGGGAGCAAAAGAACTGTTCGCGATGCGATTAGCAAAGACAACAGGAGGCAAGGGCCAGCAGGCAGCAAACTGAAGGGTTAGGAAAGTAGCTCGGTCTTATTCCAGCTCAAACTACTATGCAGAGAACTGACTGCAGATGGAAGATGCAGAAACTAGGGAACTTGCTGAAAGGTGATCAACACTTGTTATTAATAAAAAAATGACCAATATTGGTATTAATTACCGACAATCCACAGCTCCGGTCAACAGTCCTATTAGGATGAAGAAGTTTTAAGACCTCTTTTTTACCATCTTTTCTCTGTAACTATCATCTACCAGTGAGCTGCCAAATTCGTTCAGAAAATCAGTCACATGCTATGTCTACATGAGTAATAAATGGGCAAAAATCAGGGATGAAGCTCCACATAAAAGGCACAATCATCTGTTGGGAGGCAACGGGCTGAAAGACAGTGTGAAGGGACAAAGCTAAGGCATTTGGTACGATTTAAAACAAACAAAACACAACCTACCAATTACAGGTAAGGGCGAGCCTGACACTAACAGCGCGTGCACAGAATGTTGAGGGCAGAATCCCCATTCCGAACTTACAAAAACACGGTCACACACTTCTCCTTTTATTAATTACTCTCCTCCCGAGGGAGCTCAAGGACAACCACCCCACGGCTCCCGGAGCTGGAGACCAGGGGACGCGGTCGGGGTTCGGGTCAAAGGGCACGCAGAGCGCGGATTCGAAGCAGCACCCTGAAAGAAAGGGGCACCCGGGCGCCCCGACAGCGGGGCTTCGCGGGCTCCTCACCTCGGGGTTCTGAGGCTGCGTCTCCTCCCCACACTCCGAGAGCGGCGTCTGCAGTCGCGCGGGAGCCACGGCCTCTCCGCCAGGCTGTCTGCTCTGCCCATCCTCCATGCCAGGTGTCACGTATGCAGGGAACTGCTGGCGCCCGACGCTCGCTCACTGTGGGCCGAGCCCGAAAGCCTCGTCTTTCTCCCTTGAAAAATCACCGGGCTCGCGTTCCCGCGGCGGCGGCCACACAAACTCCAGAGGACACCTCCCACTTCCGGGAGCGTGCGGCGTCCACACGCCGCGCAGGCGCAGTGAGCGGTGCGCGCGGAACGCCAGTGCGTCTGGCCACGAGGGGAGGGAAAATGAGGGGGAGCCGAGGCGCGCGCGCGGGAACGAGCTGCGATTGCCGCCACCGCGCCGCCGAGCTGCACATGTGCTGGCGCTAGACGCTGGCGGGCCCGGGGGAGCGCCGGAGTAAATGCTGTGATCAGCGTTTCCTAGGAATGACGAAGGGGCCCAATAGAGACAGGAGAATTCTAATCCTAGCAGAATATTTTACATTTCCTTACGTCCACTTTCAAGGTTTTATTTTACATTTTTTTTTTAAAGATTTTATTTATTTATTTATACAAGCACTGGGTACAGTCAGAAGCGCGGGAGGGTGAGAGAATTCACCAGAGCCACAGCTGGGAGCAGAGCAGGCACAGGGACCGAAGTACACTGCTGAGGGGAGCAGCGGGCGTGGCAGGAGAGGTCTGCGCGCCATGTGGGACCCTCGCCGGCGGCCGGGGATAGAACCTGCGCTGCAGAGACTGCGGGCAGCTTCGCAACCCAGCGCTCAACTGCTGCTCCACTTTCAAGGTTTTAAATGCCCAGAAATTATCAAGATTTCTATGGCATAACTCCTGTACTGATGATCTTTTTGTTAGAATGTGTTCAGTTCAAATAATATGACTTTTGAGTGCTGATACACAATGGCAGAGAAGTTTAGAAGAACTGCTCATCTCATCTCTCTTTCTTTTAGAAGATATATTTTTCTCAAAGAAATGACTCAATGAACACTACCAGAATCCCCACTATAAAAACATTAATAAATGCTAGTTACAGATTGTTTCACTTAAACTTTTTGTAAAGAAGATTCACAATCAAGAAGGGATCATTTATTTTCTTTGAAAATGATGTGTACTCCAGTACTGTTACCTGTGCCAAGGGGAATTCAGAGATAAAATAACCAACAAACATTTATGGAGCACCTTAATATGTGCCAGGAATAAACATTGGCCAAAAAGAAAAATTGTGTATCCTAGTGGAGACTACAGTCAAGAAATGGAATGCAGACAAGTGACACAAAACAGTTACTGCATGGAGAAAAAAAAAGTAAGGGAAATGTGAGGGGTGCCCAGATGGGGAAGGGAATTGCAGTTTTTATTCTTTTTTTTTTAAAGATTTATTTATGCATACAAAAACTGGGGTATAGGCCATAGGTGTGGGGGAGGGGTGAGAGGATTCACCAGAGAGAGTGGGGAACAGAATAGGCAGATTGAAATACGCTGCTGAGGGGAGCAGCAGGTGAGACAGGAGAGTCTGCTGCCCCATGTGGGTTGCTCCCTGGCAGGCCGGGGATCGAACTCCTGCTGCAGAGGCTGTGGACAGCTTCACAGCACAGCACTCTACTTGCTGTGCCACCAGGGGGGCCCACAATTTTTAAATAGAGTGGTTACTGCAGGCTTCACTGATGGTATACTCTTTGTGCAAAGACCTCTAAGGAGGGTAGGGAGCAGATCATATCTGGGAGAAGAGAATTGCAAGCAGAGCTAGCAACAGAAGGCCCTGAACTGAGAAGTCCTCTGGGGTGTGGAAGAAATGCTTAGTGTTCCATAGTTTCTTTTCATATGTGTTGTCAGCATGCAGGACACCTAAATGTTTTAAAATGTTGACTCTTCTGTCACTTGCCACAGAATATGGAGGGTGATATTAGTGCCTCTGCCTAAGGAAAAAATGTGTATAGTTTGACACCAAAAAGACACCATACACCATGTTTCATGTATGATACAGCCTTAAAAAGAGGTTTTAGAATTGGTTGTTTTTTTATTCTCTCCAGTGGAAAAATTTCCTGCCTTCCTTTTAGCTACAGTGTCCCTGGATCAGTCCCATGTAAGTGATAGATATTTGTGTATTGTTAGATACCAGGATTTGTAAATTGTTCTAGGCTGAACTAAATAGATCACTTTTGCAGAGCTGATGGCTATTTGTTCCCAAGTAGGTTCCCTAATGCTTCCTACTGCCACATGTTATGTTAGTTTTATATGTTTAGGTCTGTAGCTGCGCCTCCTGTTCTGATCTATTAGTTTGTGCTGTCAGTTCTTACACCCAAACCACTTTGTGTTTGTTGCTAGGATCTGTAATTTGTCTCAATATCTTACCAAGCAAGTTCTTCCTCTTTACTGATTGTTTTCAAGACTGACTTGGCTATATATGAATTTTTGATCTTTCACATACATTCTTGGATAAAATTTATAGAATTTGGGAATAAAAAATTGTGATGAAAATTAAATTCACTCGATCAGTTTGAGGAGAATTTGATGTATTAATTTTGAGTCATCCTATTGAAAAGGATGGAAAAAAGTGTAACTTTTTTCAGATCACCTTTTATGTCTTTAAATTTTTATAATTTTCTCCATAGATGTGTTTCACATTCTTGGTTAATTCCTAGAAACATAGTTTTTGTTGCTATTATCAATGGTACATTAGTTTCTATGTGAATGATATACTATGTTTTTAATTTATATTGGTTATTTGTGGTGAGAAAAATACTCTTGATTTTTTTTAATTTCTAAAGTTCTTATGAATTTTTTAAAATGAGTTTTCTTTTTTTAAGATTTATTTTTATTTATGCATACAAGAACTGGGGTGTAGGCCAGAGGTGCGGGGAGTGAGAGAATTCACCAGAGACAGATGGGGAGTAGAACAGGCGGATCTACTGAAATACTGCTGAGGGGAGCAGCTAGCAAGTCAGGAGAAGTCTGCTGAGCCACGTGGGTTAGCTCCTTGGCCAGGGGTCGAACTCATGTTGCAGTGACTGGCCGTAGCTTGATAGTGCTGAGACTTAACCCCTTGCGTCATTTACTTTTTAATGATTTTTTATTCTTTATTCATATACTTCCTTTCTCAGCTTAAGTATATTCATCATGCCTATTTTGAATTCCTGGTTCATTCAATCTAACAATTCTGATTTAGTTGGTATGTCTGATTCAATTTGTTGTCTGCATTTCATGGTATCCTTGTTCCTCCAAGGTGCCAGGTTATTTTGGTGTGTAAGCTCATGTGCTCATGTGAATGTCTGGTAATGTGAGCTGGTAGGAGACCTGTGATCTTCCAGGTGAATTCAAGAAGGAAACCAATGGGTTCAAAGAATGAGTGCTTATCACATCCATTTGTACCCTCTCTATCAATCAACTACTCTATTCAGAATTTTACATGTAATCTTTCCAGAAGTAGCTTTGAGAGACCAAGTCCCCAGTTGATAATCTACCAGCCCTGGAGGTTGGAGTAAAGAAGTCAATGCCTGAGGGGATCTGTGCAGCCTGTTCTTGTTTTCGTTAGCCCCTCTCCCCTACCAGATACCCTAGTACTTCTATCCTAGTGTAAGGCGTGCACAGGCTTGGGATGTTGCTACTGATTACTGCTTTCTGCAGACCTTCTCGTGACTGTTTTGCTTGCCTATGTTGAGCATCACCTCACTGAGGCCCAACCCCCCACCACCACCACTTCCCCCCACACACCTGTCAATTAAAGCCATACCTCCCATACCTTTTCAGGACAGTCTTCAGACTCCCTGGGATTTTCTTATTTTGTTGTAGTGGTGAATGTTCATTTCTGAAATCCATGTTTTCTTAATTCTAGATTCTCTAGGATTCATGAGAAAAGGTGGTAGTTAATGAGTGATGAAGTTACATTATCATTTCTACAATATTGATGTTGGGTTCCAGATGATGGAGTTCGGTGTGTAGGTTTCTTGGGCTTGGCTGCCTCTAGGAAAACTCAGGAGACATTCTCATTCATCAGCACACAGCAAGTTTATTGAGGAAAGGAAAAAAAGGAAAGACACATCCACATAGACACAGACAGGTAATCTTAAAAGACAAGAGCTGCCTTTTTGAAAAGTGTTAAGTGTAAGAAAAGAAATGCCTGCATAGACACGGTAGCTAGGAGAGCTGCCTTTTACCAGAGCAAGGGGTGCTTTTTTTGTTTGTTTGTTTGTTTTTTGGTTTTCTTTGTAGTGAACTTTGATGAAATTATTGTGGAAATTATCACCTTGGAGTCAGATTGAATTGATCTTTTGTGATTAATAATCCTCGCTGCCTCCCACTTCTGGCTGATAGTCTTTTCTGACTCTACCTCAGATTCCTGGAAATGTCCAGGAATCTGAACATTTAAGATTCATTAATTGTCCTTACCCCCACCTCTGGTGTTTGATCCTGTGAGACCTTCCATCCTAAATTTTTCTATTTATACTTCCATCAAGATACATGGTGCTTTAGTTTGCTGGGGCTGCCATAACAAAGTATTCCAGACCAGATTATTTAAACAACAGAAATTTTATTTTGTCATAATTCTAAAGGATGGAAGTCCAAGATCAAGCTGTCTTCAAGGTTGATTTCTTCAGAGGTCTTTCCATGGCTGAGATGGCCATTTTCTCTCTTTCTTCATATGGGAATTAGAACATCAGTGTTTGAGTTTTGGTGATTCACAATCCACCCCATAATATATGACATTTACATTCTGTTTTGGAACTATACTTTCACATTTAATTTATCTTATTTCTCATGTTTTGACTTACTATCTTACCAACTAAATGTCTGGTGCATTCTCATTACTAAATCTCTTGCCAATATTCTAAATTTCTTTCCTTGATAGAACTTGGATGATAATAAATCTGTCTTTCCTCTCCGTACTTGCTCTGAGTTCTTCTCCATACACGCCTTTGAGATCACACAACAAGTAGATCAGTGTCAAATGGTGCTTCACCTGGGTGCAAATCCTCCCTGTCATCCCTACTGTGTTTCTCTTTGCCTTCCTTCTCTGCAGTGTCTACTGCAAACCTTCTCTGCTCTCATCTCTGACTTCCAGACTACTTCCCTACCTGCTCTCACCAGACAACCTCCCTCCTGCTTCACAAAAAATAGAAAGCCTCTGAAGGAAACCACTTTATGTTACCACCGATTCTGCCCACCCATAGTAGATCTTGTGTTTATTTAAAATTTTGATATTTTGTTC